ATTGAAATTTCGAACGAAATTTTTCTATCATTTGACGAGTTTTCATTAATTATTATTACTATAGGGTATTAGTTATGTATTGTTGAAAAATGACAAATGTATCCAGGTGTCGTAGGATCCTGCGTTTTGTACGCAATGCTAAGAGACAGTTACCGTAATCCTCGAAGCGATTTACGGGGACTTTTTTTTTTTTAATTTCGCATATTCATTTTATTATTTTTCGCTCAATTTTCGTATTTTCCTTCGAAATTTTGTTATTTAAATTTTGCAGAAACCGAGTTTAATAATTTATTTAGCAGAATAAGCACTTTTAAACGATATTTTTTTGGTAAAAACAGCAGAGATTAAAAAGAAAACATTTTTGTCGTTAATAAAATTATTTATTCGTGTTTTGCTTTTTGTATGCGTTTCTATTATCTTGTTTTTGTATTCTTCATTTTCGAAATAATTTTTAGAGCGACAAAATCTTCACGAAAATTCCCAACTCAACTGGACAAATGGAAAAGTGCATATTCTGAAAATTAAATAATTAAACTCGGTTTCTACAGGTTTTAAATAAAAGATTTCTAAAAAAAAATATAAAATACAGCAAAAAATTGAAAGAAAATTTAAAAAAAAATCTCCGTAAATCGCTGCGAGGATTACGGTAACTATCTCTTAGCATTGCGTACAAAACGCAGGATCCTACGACACCTTGATACATTTGTCATTTCTCAACAATATAAAAGCTGGTAAAGAATCAAATTCGATAAATTTGAACGCATAATTTTGAAGGCGTTTTAAACGTTGAGGTTTTCTATGAAATTAGTGATCTCAACAATTGCCATGCTTCAAATTCACCAAAAATAAGAAATTTTGATAGAAATAATTCAAAAATCGTGGATCCAACAAGCGAATCTTGCCACGTGTCTCATTAATTTGTTCTGCAAAAAATCAGTTTTCAAGTTTTATTTTATTTTTTTGAGACTTTGTAGAATCGAGAGAGTGCAAGACAACGAGAGAGTGAAAGGAGACGCAGAGAGCGAAAGCCTTCGCACCAGAGCGGCATTGAACCCTTGATCTACCCAAGACGGGGTCAGGGGGGACGTTAAAAATTCAAATTTCGCGGGCTTGGTTTTGAGACAGTGTCGATTTAAGAAAAAACCGTTATTATATAAATATGAGTCCTTCGCGGAGAATAAGACGGATTTATGAAGTCCACAAGAAAGTTGGGACCCAGAGAATCCTGTAGTACAAATTTAATGGTACTATGCAGATTTCGCAAAAATGAAGAACTATCAAAACACTTTGAAAATCCAATGAAGATTGCGCAAAAATCTATTTTATTTTTTTGAGTTTTTCGAAATTTCGTCCCAAAATTTGCATAGCATATTATCGAAAAAAGGTGGTTCAAAAAGGAATTATATTAACGTTATTAAAAATTTTTGCGTTTTTGATTGAATAGTTAATTTAAAGAGAAAAAACAATGAATGAATTTCTTGAAAATAAAACTCACAATTTTTAAATGATTTTTTTAAAAATTAATTTTTCCTTTTTTTTTAAATTTTTTTCATCAATAAAAAAAGCAAAATTTCCAAAATCTAACTTGTCTGACACGATTTTCAAAATATCAATCTGCGGACAATTTCGGTTGTCATGTTTTTGTAGAGTACGGTAGGGGAAATTCGCGGCGAGACTCAAAAGCAATAAAATGAGAAATTTCACATTAGTTTTTTTGCGAGAGAACAAGGGCAAAAGCTTAAAAAAAAAGGAAACGAAACGAAACGAGATGTTTGATATGTAGGTATTTAGTAGAAGAAGCTTCTCCGTCGTATTTGAGAAGAGAATTCAATCAGATATGAAACTAATATCGCCAATTCTTTATTTTATATGATGTTGGGCATTAAATAAATAAATTGAAGCTGCAAAAATGAAATATTTTCGCCCCCAACATTTTCCATCCTTCATCGGTAAACAATTTTAGTTTTTTTTTTTTCAATGAAATGAATTTTACTTCTATTTTTTTTTTTAATTTATTAAGGGACAACTTATGGAAGGATTGTCCGCAGCAAGAAGATGATTTGAGAAAAAAGAATTGGTGAGTGAATTGCATGTCGACACGAAATTGTCTTAAGAAAATTACTTTCGATTCTCTTTCTCAACAATCTATTTTAGGCAAATCAGCTTTGAACTTTTTTTTATTGACTTCCGAGACCCGTAAATTGTCCGCAGATAGCGAAGTGCAATAATGGGGTGAAACAAAAGAATAAGCGGGTATTTATTTGATATGGAAGAGATCCTGATTTTGAAATTTGATGATCTACTATAGTTCTGGAATTTTCTAGAAGCAACGGGATTTACAGAGAGCAAATTTTGGATTTTTGAGTGGATTGCCTCAAAACAATCGCAAAATTGCAATTAATCTTCTATAAACGATTTTCCGGAAATTTCGAGAATTTATTAAAGGCGCATCGACGAAAATTTGCGATTCCTGAATCTACACCAATCAATGGTCCCACCCTCACAGAAATTCACTGCAACCATTTAAATAACCTTTCAAATGTTTTTGGACCCAGGGTACTCTACTAAAGATAACCTGCTTACAGTCATTTATAAATTACAGTAACCGAGGGGTTCTTTCTTCTAAAATTAAAAAATTTTTGAATCTCCTGATTAATTCATCCTCTAAAATAAAACTTTCCTATTCTCTGACATTTGACTTTTTTTTTCAAACTATCAAATAATTCAAAATTTATTTTAAATGCTCTTTCAGATTATGATGGCTAACTTAAATAAAATCGCTAAGAGAATTTTGTTTTCCATACGAGACCCAAAGCGGCAACTTGAAATACTGGTGGCTTTATAAATGTGAAACGGTTGCAAGTGACCAATTTTCAGTGTTTTCAATGTCACTCGACCAATTTTTCAGATATCATAATGAAAATTGGTAGATATACGTATTTTTTAGTCCTGAATTCAATTTTGAAAACAGAATTTAAAAATGTTTACAATGGACAAAGTTACACCCAAAAACAGGGGTGGCTTTATAAATGTGAAACGCACTGTATACATAAATAAATGACACAACAAATTTGATCATTCTTGGCAATATTAAATATTATCATCGCAAAAAAAAACGAGCACCTTGAGTATTTGTGGACCATCGCAATTTTTTTTGCATTTTAACAATTTCAATTTGAATACCTTAGTCTGGATAACCTGCGAATCAAACTATACAGGGTGCTCGTTTTTTTGCGACCGCAATTCAATAAATATTTCAAGAAAGCTTTGCTGGGCCTGTAAATTGTCGGCAGATGAAATAAATCAACGCCAACTGCAATTATTCGTACCCTCATTTTTATGGGAGCCGAAAGAAATTTCGGGACCATTTAAAACCGCTTTAAAAAAATGACGTATTTTTGTCTTGAATTAATCTCGACAAAAAAGAAATGTTTTTCAATTGCGGAACTGTGGAAAAAAAGCTGAGAAAGCGTTCGTCCACCCCCTTCCCCCAATTAAAACGAAAAACGCCGGCTGCGGTGGTGTAAAATGTTGTATGAAAAAAAATAAGAAGGGACCATTAAAATTGATAATGACACAGATGTTCGCGAGACGCCGTTATTTTGAATTATGCTGCTTCGTTTCAAAATTCCCTAGTTTTGAAAACGCGAATTTTTGGATGAAGCTCGAATTTTTCTTTAATTCCAAAAAAAATAATAATCAAAAAAGAACAGAAAGTATAAAAAGAATCTTTAATTCAAAAAAAATTCATTTCAGATTTTTTTTTCAAATATTTGTATGCAAACAAAAAAATTGAGAAAGAACCCGGAAACAAATAGTTTCGAATATGGTAATTAATAATAAACAATAAAAATTGCGTGATACTTTAAAATTAGCGTTAATTGGGGTACCAGATTTATCAGGAAACGTGTGAGAGGTGGGCGTGGCTTAAAGATTGCGCCGCAAATTGCAATTTTCATTTTTTTTCCCTAATTTTTGAAAATAAATTAATAGCCAGGAAAACAATAATTAAAGGCGCATGGCCTTTGCTATTTTTATTGGGAAAGAATTTGATAAGCATTTGTGGCAAAAATATAATGAGCAACATTCTTTCAGCAATTTTAAAGGAGCACACTAAACTAATTTTCGAGACTCTTAAAACGAAATCGATTTTTAACCAACTATTTTCAATAATATACGCGGTTAACAGAATTTTTCGCCGCAAGACCTTCGATTAATGTTTATTTTTTAAATTTCGCAAAAAAATGGTAGCGTACGCGAACCGCAACGCGTCTGGCGTCATTGAAAAAATTTCGGTAGCCGGTTATTTTTTTTTGGAAACAAACTATTCATAAAAACTTAAATTTTTACAAAAATCGAACAATCGCTTCGAGACCACAAAGTGAGGGTGGGCGACGAAAAAAAAGGTGTCGTTTATTAGAATATTCAATTCAAATTTCTGTCCGAAAAAAAAAATTCCCACGCGAGAGCAAACGAGACACCGTCCCAGCCGGAATTATAATGACAAGAAGAAGAAAAAAGAAAAGAAAGAAATTGGTAGACACGGAATCGGCGAGACTACGTGTTTTTCGAATTCCTCCTTTTTCTTCATTAAATTTCGCGATATTCCAAGTATGGAAATCAGAAGAATGAGTTTCGAAAACAAGAAGCGGCGCAATTTTTTTTTTTGAAAACGACTGGAAAAAAAGAAAATGAGTGGCACAGATTATGCACGGCATGTTTGGCTCACGCAATTTCCTTTTTTCTCGAATCTCAACCGGAAACCTGGCAAATATGGTCAGAGGAGGTGTCAGCCGAATCGAATGACCGCTAAATTCCATAGAGCCAAAAAGAAAAAAAAAATACATATATAAATAAAGCTATAATAATAATAGTAATCATAGTAAGCGGAACGGAAGCCTTCAATCCACCAATCTCAGTAAAAATTTTCCCTCGAAATCCAAAAAAATTTGTACAAGAATATATTTATTATTGATATCACAAAAAAAAACACCTAGCAACTATTGGGTTTTCTTCTCGCCTTTTTTCACCTCTTTTTTATTGTTATTATTTCCCCAAATGTCGGCGAATGCGAGAGTTCCGGCAAACACGAAAATCGCTCCCGTCCAGTGTTGAACTGCAATAAAAATATTTTCAGCAAAGGAAACCAGCTGGCAGACTTTGTAATGAATTTTGGCGTAGGTTAAAGTGCAAGTCCGCAGAGTTGATGCGGTGTGGTTGCACAATTTTATTCTTTTTTATCCCGCATTTTAATTTTCGACAAAATTTTTCAAATTTTCAGAATTCGCTTACGGGTGAATGGATTCTTGAAGTAGACAATCGAGACAATCAGTGATAAGAACTTGCGAAGAGTCACCACCAACGTGACAGTCAACGAATCGACTCTGGAGTTCAGCTGGTAGACGAATTTGATGCACAGGAATCTACAAATTCACGATAATAGGGTCATATGGTCTCATACTCTCTAGAAACCCTCAATTTTTTTTAAATATTTATAGTTTTTTTTTGAATTTTACACATTGTTGACATTAGGCAACATTAATTTTTTTAATTTTTAAAATGGAGATTTCCAATTTCAACAATTTGCAGAAAATTTTCCGAATTTTTGCAATATCCAAAGCCTTGTTCTAAAATGTTGAAATTATCACACTAAAACACCAAAATCAAGAAATCAAATTTTTGAAAGCGCATCATTGCAAAAAAAAATCAACATCTTGTTTGCTATCAGGACTTCTATTTCAGAAAACTAATAAAAATATACTTCTGAAGGTAGGCGACCTTGAACGTTTTGAACTAACAGTTTTCGTCTTTTTTTAAGGAAATTCTTACTGTAACAAGCAGCTTCCGAACAAGTCAATCCACAAAGACGGAATTCCCGGAAGAACCGCGTATGGCGCACTCGCCGACAATTTCTCGGCCGCCGATTTAATGTCAGACATCATAAACAGGAAGAACGGGAGAGAGACAAAGTGCTGAAAATGTTTGATGCTTGTCAAGCGATTGAGACACAAGCTTACAGTCACAAACATTGCCTCGTCAGGATGTTTTCCGTAAACCTTGTAGAGCTCTTCTTGGCAAATCGCCAAAAACGCAGAGGCGAGAAGCGCGAACGTAAGCATGCCGATTCCAATCGACCATTCCTTGTAATGCTTCGAAGCTTCTTCATAGCTAAGGCCAGATTCCTAAAAAAAATCATTGGTTGAAAAAAAAAAAACAAAAGTTGGCCCCGAATTGTTCATTTTCGTTATAAAACGTATTCACTTCGCAATGAGCTTTACAAAATCCTACATTCAAGGCCTTCATAACCATTTTAAGGCATGTAAGGCACAAATCAGAAAATTGCTAATTGTTGTCAAAATTAATTAACTAATTAATTGCGTTCAAACTTCACAGTTCGACCATCTCAACCGGTTCCCAAATTCACCTTTTCCTGTCCGCTCGTCGCCAATGTACAAATAATGATACCAATAGTGATGGCAAGAACGGAAATGTATTTTCTAGCCGTGTATTTTTTGCCGACCCATATCACCGACAACACAAGTGTAGCGAGAAGCGAGCCCTTCAAAATCACATGATTTTAATAGACGAAACAAAAATTGGATATTGTTGGAATAATTACCGATCGAAAAATGATGTGCAATGGAACTGGAACATGATAATTCAATGCTTGATTATTGACAACGTTCACAATGAAGAATGTCACAACGGTTTTGAAATATCCTCTGCCAATTGATGATTTGAAATTTAAAAAAATTTGAGGAGACAAACCGAAGCGGAATTTTGTTGGGAACTGTAAAAAATCTCGATGTCATCACGAGGCCTTGAGCAGCGATGAACAAGAACGTCGAGAATGTCATCAGATTCATCGCTGACGGCTCCTGTCTGCAAAGAAATAACCATTTTGGGAAATAGTGATTATTTTAAGTGGAAAATTTTAAACATTTGAGAATTTAAATCTTTTTCGTGCCGATTTTGGAATACAACAACTCAAAAAAACTTCACGGAAATTGCAGAAAAATAACTTTTGAGCAGTTTTTTGCACAAAATTGACATAGAATGAAAAATGCCAAAAATTATTAATTCTAAAGGGCCAAAAAAACGAGGTTAATTTTAATGGAGAAAAAATAATTCTTTTCTTGCTTTTCTACATTTCTCCATTTCGTTTTCTGCATTTCCCTATAATTTATTCTTTTTAAGCACTCACTTGGCGATATTTTCAACGAATATCATGCATCCCATACAACTGCCGAGCACTCCGAAGACAGGCGCAATCGCCGACATTCTGAAAACACTTGAAAAATAGTTCGGATCGAAAAAAATAAGCAATTAATAAAAATCTGACGGCGAATTGCGAATGTGTGTGCCATCGTTCGGACAGTGTCGACGAGAGACGCAGACAGGACGAAATCAGCCCAAGTTCGAGGCCGCGGTTTAATAGATAAAAAATGTGTGTGTGTTGTAGTTTTGCTATAATTCGACACAAACGTATTCAAAGTGATGCAACAATACATTTCTGCCAAAATTGAGAACATTTTTCCATTTTTATTAGTGATTTTTTTTAATATTCAACAAGACAAGAGTGGGCAATCACGGAATTTCAAACACAGGGCATTCGTTCAACGGAAACAAGAAAAATAAATATTACTATCAAAGGAGGACCTTATCAAAGTTCAATTGCTATTGATAACGACATTGGGACCTCTCCACATCTTCTGCAACATTCTAAATGATCTCTCATGGCGATTGTCTAATTTTGAGCTAAATGACTAGATCAAATGATGAAATAAATTAATTGGTCAATTTTCAAGTTTGAAAATTTTAAAGATACTACCAAAATTCACAATTTCTTCTATTGTCCGCCTATTTCTCATTATTTTGAATGTTGCAAAACGTAGAAGACAACCGTAAAAAAAGAAAGATAACTATTCAAGAGGAAAATTTGCATCTGAATATTTTGCGCCACACCCTGAGGCGAGACGACGGGGCTTTGGACAGATATCTGTCCATAGGTCCGTTGGCTCGCCTCAAGGGGCGGCGCAAAACAGTAAGACGCAAACAATCCGCGGAAGGTTCGTTTTTAGGAAACCTGATGACCAAAAAACGACGGGTTTCGCGTCACGTTCGAAAACGTTCAAACACTAGCACGCAAAATTGCAGACTTAAAAATTGCAAATGGGACATTGCAGAGAAAATAATGAAGAAAAAAAAAGAAAGATAATCTATTATCATTTCTTTTCTCTTTCTCCTAAAGAAAAATAGCAAATTTCAAAATTTTGCTAAGCGAACAATGTGCCTTTAAAGTCTATTCAGGCATTTGCACGTCATATCGTGCATTAATCGCCGCTATTCGCATGTTTTGCAAATCCAAGGCACGCATCTCAACAGGCATGAAATACTTCTCAATAATCTGTAAAAAAAAGAAAAAAAAAACACTATTTTAATTATTTTAAAATATTAATTACATCTTTCCATTTCTTGGCAATTCTCTTCGTCAGGTTTCCTAATTCTCCATACTGAAGAAGGATCGCTGAAAATCAGAGAAATGAAATTTTAAAAGAATTATGAGTTTCTCACAATCCGCTGCAAGGCATGGCAAATTGATCGAGTTCACTTCAATCAATCTCCCAAGAAGTGCTCCACAATTCGAGCTATTACAGTAAATCTGAAAAAAAAAATGAACTTCTCACAGAAAAACTCGAAAATACGCAAATTTACCTTCCCTTTACCGTGATACTTCGAGGCCAACTTTAATTCTTCACCACTGAAAGCGCGGCATTGAATCTATAACACTTTTCGTTAGAAAATTGCCAAATTTTATTTAAAAAAATTTTTTTCCAAATTTCTGCTGTTCAAATTGAGTTAAAAATTTGGGTACCAGAAAATTGTGGGAAAAATATCTTTCGGAAATACTTTCGGGTCTCGTAAAGATTGTAGATTTTCGTAGGAAAATAAATATTCTACCTTATGCTTAGCGCACATCTCGAGATATTTGGGTGCAGAATATTAGTCATTAAAATATTATATCCGTTGGTTGAATGCCGAAAAAAAACACAAAACTATGTACATAATTGTGTAAATTTAGAAGCCAGCTTTAATTTTTGAACTGTTTGAATCAAACAATATTGGAATTTTACGAATTTATTGATTGCGTGATCGCATATCTTCATTTTTCAATGTTTCCCCCCTTCAAGTCCATACCAACCTTCTTCCAAATCTCGGGATCACACACAAAATACTGAGTTCGTCTCGATTTAATATCCTGACTCGACGCCAATTTCACATCGCACTTCCTACAAATGTGTTCAATTGATTTTCAACTCGATAGATATAATTTGTATCACCGGCACAGAATCGAATATTGAACATTCGAGTTTTTCTGCATCTGGACCACCTTTTCATTCTCCAACTGCTCCTTCTGAATGTCTCGCCACACTTGCGCCGTTTTTTGCGTCACCTTCTTTCCAAACTCCGATGATGACAATATCATGTCGATCGCTTCATTCATCAGCGCTTCCTTGCTTCGATTCGAATGCTCCTGCTCGATCAATTTCATGTTGTTAGTGATTAAAATGCACCGCGAGCCAGCAGCACGTCCACGACCTATCGGAATTCAATATGAAGTTGTGGAGTGAAAAGCGCGTCTTGACAAACCTCTTCTCTGCACATGAGCAATCTCATTCGTCGCATAATTGTACTTAATAACCAAATTACATTTGGCGACATCAAGTCCTTCTTCGGCAACCGACGTGGCAACAAGCACGCGAAGAGTTCCATCAGCAAATCTGAAATTCCGCAAATCATTTTCCAATATGTGTAAACCGATAAAGGCCTCATACTGTGTTAATTTGTCTCGTTGACTGGTTTGTGTTATCGAGTGGTCATCTCCAGTTTTGTTAATTCCTAATTAGTTAATTATTTATAGCAATGCATTCATGGGGGGGGATTACCTGATATAAACGCGGACTTGATCTCCTTCTCCGTCAACGAATTCATCGAATTCAACACCTCCGACAGCTGTCTCGCACTGTATCGCGTTTTGACGAAAATGATCGCGCGAAAGTCGGGGTTCCTCTCATGCTGCTCTTTGAGCAATTCCTCGATTTTTGTAATTATCTCATTCTCCGTCGTCAAATAAGGAATCAATCGATGTTGGTACTCTAGAATAACAAATATCATGTTTGATTCAATCAACAAACCACCTTCCCAAATACGAATCGTGCTTTGCGTCATTGAACATTTATTTTCCTCGAACATCTGATTCAAGTAGTTGTAGCCAATTTGAGAGTTCAAATTATAATTGTGGACAATTGCAAGATGGCACGCCTACATAATCATAATTATATGATTCGCTTTAAATTGTTTAATTTAAAGACTCACGTTAAGAATATCCAAAATTTCGACAATTCTGATCTTCGTTTCGTTGCTTTCGAAACTTCTCTCAACCACAAACTTTTTATTTTTTATCACCCATGTTTGATACCCTAAACTTGATCAATTGTCTTATATATTTTTGTTGATAATCTTGGTAGACAGATCCCAATATTTTCGTTTCAAGACTTATGCGCCTTTAACTAGTCAATTTTCACTTTAACAAAAATCAAACGTGATTTCACAAACTAACCGCAACTTTCTTTATCAGACGGTGGCAATGCAAACGATGTCGCCTGCGAGTTCTGCTGATCGGTTTGAAGGGCACTATCAACATCAAACGAATTATCCATTCCTAAAAATAATATATTCATTTTAATTTTTAAACAAATATCATTTACGTATTGTGTCGAGCATGCTATTCTCAAATTTTTTCATCATTTCGACAAGTTTGTCGGCAAAAAGCGACAATTTATTGTCGCTGGTTCGTGGGCACGAAATCGCTTCTGAAAATGATTCTACTTTAAATAATATCACTATAAAATTGTCACCATCCGGCACCAGTGGCGAAAATCGCAAAAGCTCGTCCTTATTCTCGTGGACAACACTTATAGTCTAGAAAATTTTAAAGGAAAAAAATTGAATATAAAAAGAATGAAGAAATCCGAACCGGGCAATCCATATTGGCACAAATATCGATGATATGCTCGCAAGCCGAAATTTTGTTTTTCGCGCCTCCAACTCCAAGAGAAGCCGTCAAGCCGATAATCTGAAAATGTGTGACGATATTTTTCGGAAGCCGACATTTCAGAAGACTTGCGGAAGTCGATGACCTTCCGGCATTTGTTTAGTATTCTTCAAACGATGATAAATCTTCATAATATCTGGAAAAAAAGTAATTGCAAATTTAGCGATGAATCCGATTCACTTGAATACGGCGAGTTCTTCTGCGCTGAATGGCATTCATCGAACACGATGATCGTGAATGTTGAGAGGTAGAACGGCTCTAATACGATATCATCGCTGAGTGTATCATTGTGCTCATTGCACAGATTCCTACAAATCTACGTTTTTGAATGCTCCGTTAATTTGGAATCAGCTACACAATCATCTGTGGAGTCGCCACCACCAAATCCGTTGACATGATTCGACCACGAACCGGTGTATCATCGCTTCCCTGAACAATCGAGACTTGATAGAGATGATTTAGAAATGATGATAAGCTGTTGGCTTGCTGCTCGAGGAGCACATTTGTCGGAGTCATGAATAAAGCCTGCGCGAAATATTGAACAATTGAGAAAAGGGAAGCAGGCGGACTTGTACCTTTCCCTTTTTTCCCTGCCTTTCCAAATCGAGAAAATGATTTTTCAAGATATTCGCCGCAATCACTGTTTTTCCAGAGCCCGTTGGTGCAGCGATGATGGTGTTTTTACCTTCTAGAGCATTTCGACACAATTCTTTCTGGTAGGATCGCAAACAAATCGGGTTTTCTGCAATTCTCACGATCTACATGACGAGCCCCCCATAAAAGATACCCGCGTGTAGGCGTCTTTGCGCAGAATGGACAATCATTCTCTCGAAGTTTGATTCTGGAAGTGGATCCCAAGAAATGTCAATAGTTCTTAAAATAATATCAATAAAAAAACAATGATATATAGTTCTGATACCGGAATCTTGAATTTGCGTTAATTGCCGGCGTCCCGATCTGGCTCATAAATTCGGTTGCTGATGAAGTCAGCGGGCAAACGTATATTCGACCGTTGGGATGAAGCAAATCCTCGGTAATAAGTTCTGAAATAACACAAATTATAAATATTTATTATACATTTGCAACAAAAAAAACGAGCACCCTGCACCGATTTACAGCGAGTTAGCTTCGCATGTTATCGAGGATACGGTATCCGAATTCCCACTGTTAAAATTAAAATTTAAATTACCGCCGCGAAAAAGGTGCGATTGTCCACAATTAAGCATGACGCTCGTTTTTTTTTGCCATGCTAATATTATCAATGATTGCGGAAAATTGCTTAAAAGCCAAAAAAACACTATGGGTTACATAAAGAGATTTACGGGTATTTAAAATATAAATATCTTATAAATTACGTAATTTTCCAATCAATTTTGCTAACAACCTAAAGCACTTAAAAAAATCGATAGTCTTCGACTTACCAAATTTTCTTTCGAAATTTGGCACAATTCTCTCCACAAATTTTCTAGCCTCGGCGAAATTGCCTTCAGTAGGAAATTTATAAATCGACATTAGCAAATGATAAATTGTGGCAGGACCCAATTGGGGAATGTAGCGGAGGATAAGTTTTTTGACAATTTGCTCATCTCCTAAAAAAAATAATTAATCGTTGCGATGAAATTTGCAATTGAACTCACCGTTGATTTCCCTTTTCAAAATTTTGACAATATTAAAATATCTCGGAAATGATTCGAGATATTCTAATGTTTGCTTAGCATCAATATATTTCATAAAATCATCTAAATTATTCAAAACCACTCGAAAATGGCTCCTGCGGACGTTATCATTAGTGCATGATAGCAATTTATGGACATTTGGGTTTTCTAAATAGATTTTTTTGAAAGACATTTTCAATTTTTTAAACGTTTGGCCATGTATTCGAGGACGGCATAATAAAGGCACGCATTTAAACTCGAATCACTCAACCGTTTGAATAATTCCTTCCCAAATTCGCTTGGATTCTGAAACTCTGTGCACATTTCGCTGATTGTTCCGACCGGCAAGAGTTCCTCGAAACTTCCCGCCTTAAAATTTCAATTCACACTTTTTTCATTGGCAAATTTTCAAAACCTTATTCGGATCCAAAAACAAATGGGCAAACGCTCGCGAGATCTCGCCTTCGTATAATTGGAGAAGTGCGATACTCTGCTTTGGTGTAAAGATTGCCCCGCTTACCATTCTAGGCGAATCTGGAAATTTTATTACGAATTTTTATCAATTTTCGCAATTGGAACGATTTTCAGGTTGAATGTGCAGACGAGGTCCCAACAGGATGCATTATACATCCCCGCTGGAAAATTGTATTTTAGGCCCAGGACAGGTATCATCAATATAGGCTCTCACGATGAAATTTAAGTCCCCACTTTCAGAAAGTGTAAGTGTTGGCCTTTGTATTGTAAATGTGTGGACCTATATTAATATGGGGACCTCATCTTCATGATCGCCCGATTTGCAATATGGATTTCCGGAAATCTGCGTAGGCCCCTTATTTCGTAGAGTAAGACTATCGTTAGATATTTATGAAAAATATGGTAGACGTTAATTTAATATCGTTTTTTAAATATTTTTAAAATGAAAAAATAAGACTCGTTGCTGAGAAAAACAATCGCGAAATGAAGAATACGTAAATTTTCGGCAAATAAAATGCACAAGTCCGCAGAGTACTTTTCAGCATCAATTCAAAATTTAACGTCTTCTTTGTGCTTCATTCCTTACTTAAAAGAACTGAATATGTATTTGAGAAAAAATCAGTAATTGAGTTACGAATTTCGATAAATGATCATGTCGCGTGTTAAAAACCTAATGCACTTTATTTGAGGATTATTTTTAAATGTGGAAGTTTTATGAGATTACCCATTTTGGGTGTTTCGAGATCTCAGATTCGAGATTGTCAGAGATTCCGAGATGAGCACAGCTGAAATATTGCCTAGGAATATCGAAATTCAACAAAATTAAAACCATTGCGAAGAGCTCTCCAATCGAACGACATTCCGCTGGGACATAAAGACCTCGAAATATCGTATTTTATTCTCAGTCATTTTTTCAAAATTCGTTTTCTCATTTTTCATGTAAAATATTCAGTTTTGTTTTAAAAAATAAATTCAATTTTATTTAAAACTAATTAAAATTTTTAGCACTAATAATGTGTTCCAAACTAGTCAGCTATCTTACACCAGAAACCGATTGCCAATATTTTACCTAAAAATATTAAAATGTGGTTTAATTAAAGGTAATGGACCTCAATATCAAACAAAGCGGAATTCATTCATGCATTTTGCATACATCGTATTTTAAAAATCGATCAGGAAAAGTGTATAAGGTAGAAAATGAAAGTTGTACTATTGTAATTTGAAATTTCAGAGGGCTGCCGAACGCTATCTTCGCACAGATATTTCCTGCGGTCTTTACGAGTGTGAAAAATGTAAATCGTTTGGGGATAACAAGGTAAAAAAAAACATTTTAACAGTAACATTTAAATAAATGATTATAGCTTTTGAAAGTCGAGAATCCTGTTAAACATTCCAAGTTTGGAAAACATGCGCTGATAATCGATTCAACATCATTCATTCGCTTTTATGATCTGTTCAATTCTTCACTTTTAAGGTATTTTTAACATTGCTTTAATTAAAATCAGCAAGATTCACAGAAATGTGATGATCACTCAAACTGTTTGGGAAGGTGTCAAACAGAAATCTATCGTCGCCTATAAAAGGATGCACGCATTATGCTACGATGAAGCAATTGAGCGTTTTCACGTCTTCATGAACGAATTTCACTTCGAAACATTTGTGGAAGAATCAAAATTTGAAGATTTGAGCAGGCAGGCTTTCGAAACAAAATGACCTATTCATGTTGGGTTTTAAGGGGCGAAGAGCTCTTGATGACATCGGCACACTATCTTACTGCACATTGGGAGAACTACGGTGTGGCGCCAGTGATTGTGTGCTCCGATGAGGAATCGGCGACGAGAATGGGAAAACACTACGAGCACGTGACAACCCTTAAAGATTACATCCAAGGAATGGAGGATAAGGAAAAACAAGGGCTTTTGGATCAAATGGCCGCTTATGAGCATTCATCAGCATCCGCGGAGCATCACATTTATGAGGAATACCTTCCACACGACAAGATCATGGAAGGAATTGCCGAAGGGACCATCAAACGCGGAACATTTAATGTTTCGCGTGAGAACTATCGCGAAGCGAACGTGATCATTGATGAGAATCTGACGAGCTGGCTCATATCGGGCCTCAATTGCAATCGAGCGGTGAATGGTGATGTTGTGGCGGTTCAATTGCTACCCGAATCTGAATGGATAGCGCCGGAAAGGGTTGGAAGCTCGAAAGTGTTGGCAACGAAATGTTAATTGAAATTTCTAGAAAATACGCCTTCGTGATGTTGAGGAATATGTGAAAACTGCTGATGATATGGGCGCTGAGGATGATGAAGAGCCGGATGACGAGGACGATGAGCCGAAGGTCAAGAAATCTCGAAAGAATGTTGTGCCGACTGCAAAGGTATCACAAATGATTTTTTGAACAAAATTTTTATTTTATTATAATTGTTTGCCTAAGGGTTCTAATTTTGCACATAAATAGTTCCCTATCGATTATACGATGCCATGCTCTGCAAAAAATGGACCAAAATTTAGAATTCAAAGTTTAAGTTGTAAGAAGAGATTTCAAAGCATTTTTAAAAAATCCAGCGGCTATCAACGTTAAGCCCCTTTTAACAGAAATAATGTTTATTACTTTTAATCTAAACAAAAAAAAACGTTTAAATTACCGTATTATGATAGGCATAAATCGTTATTTTTGAACAATCTTCTATAAAATCAAAATTCGAAGCCGGAATTCGTTAAAATTCCCTTTGTTTCCTCAAAATCTAAAAAAAAAGTTTAATTAGTACTAGTAACTCTCTAATAATAACCAGCTAACAATGACATAAATCATTTCAATAAAGAAAATAATATTTCTAAAAATTTATCCAAAATTTCAATTTTCAGGTTGTTGGAGTAATTAAACGAAATTGGCGCCAATATTGCGGAATGCTTCTGCCGAGCTCGATGAAAGGCGCGCGACGCCATTTGTTCTGTCCCGCTGAGCGTCTAATCCCGCGAATTCGAATCGAGTCCGAACAGGCCGACGTTCTCGCTCAGCAACGAATCATCGTCGCCATCGATCATTGGCCGAGAGACTCGAAATACCCGCTCGGACACTATGTGCGAAGTATTGGAAATATGGGAGACGCTGAAACTGAGAATGAGGTGCTGCTCTTGGAGCACGACATCCCGCACGCGCCATTCTCTGAAGCTGTCATGGATTGTCTGCCGAAAGAGGACTGGAAACCCGATCTCAATGAAAAGACCCCAAGGGTGGATTTGAGACACCTTACGATTTGCTCAGTAAGTCTTGAGACCCACTACGTCTTCAATCCCTCTTAATTCTAGGTGGATCCTCTCGGATGTACTGATATTGACGACGCTTTGCACTGCAGACAGATCGGCGATGACCTGTTCGAAGTTGGAGTTCATATCGCTGATGTTACCCACTTTGTGCGACCGAATACCGCAATCGATGATGAAGCTGCCCTTCGCGGAACGACGGTATATCTTTGCGATAGGCGAATTGATATGCTACCGGCGTTGTTGAGCAGCAATTTGTGCTCGTTGAGAGGAGAGGAAGAACGGTTGAATTTCGCGAATGATCGATGATTGATTTCGAGACATTTCAGATACGCGTTCTCATGCATTTGGACAATGACGTCCAGCGCTGACATTCAGTCGGTCAAATTCCACAAATCTCTGATTCGATCGAAAGCAGCGTTGACTTATGAGCGAGCGCAAGAGATTATTGATGATCCGAAGCAGACGGATGATGTTGCTCAAGGCCTTCGTGGTTTGATGAAATTGTCGAAAGTGCTAAACGCGAGGCGAATTGGCAACGGCGCTTTGACATTAGCGTCTTCGGAAGTCAGATTTGATATGGATTGGGAATCGAAAACACCGAAGGTAACGCGATGTGATTGATGATTTCGTTTATTCGTATTCAGAAAGTGATGGAGAAGAAGCATTTGGATACGCATTCGATGGTTGAAGAATTCATGTTATTGGCGAATATTTCAGTTGCCGAAAAGGTTTGAAATTGATTCATCGATGATTGTCCAATGATGAAACTTTTAAGCATTTTTTAAGTGGTTTCAAATTTGATTTAATGTTTTTATTGACGGAATTGCGGAAAAAAATGCCAAAATGCCAGAAAAATTTAGGTTAAAAGGCTCGTTGCGCCTTTAACCATCTGTAAACTTTGGCCCGTAAATCTAAAATTTTAGTTTCTTTTTGTATAACAGACTAGATTGGGAAATTTCGCAAAACCAAATATCGAAAAATTTGGCAAAAAAAAATGAATTGCAAGCGAATTTTATGGAAATTTATAAAATTGCGCTACCATATCAAAAAGGAAAAGATTCGATAAAAAAAGAATCGAATTCAAAAGTTCAAAGTTGTTTATTTGTTTTTTTGCGATGTTTTTAAACAAAATCTGAGTTTTTCCTTTCTAACTGTTCTCATAAGAATATTACGCAAGTAACTACAAAATTCCATTTTTTCATGCTCCAAAAATGTTCTGTCTGAAAAATATGTTTGTTCGTTTTAAAAAATAATTTCAGATTCTCGCTGAATATCCAGATTGTGCACTTCTTCGCCGCCATCCGGTTCCACTAAAAGAAAGCTACAAATTGCTCATCGAGGTAAGCGGTCCCTCTTTGATAAATCGGTTGCGATCCATTCCCACATTTCTCTCGGCGTACAGGTCCGCCGGAAATTGAAATCTTGTTGCCCAATGTTGCTAATCGAGGTCATCCATACATATTTTGCGGCGCTTATGCAAATGGGTTCGTATTGAAGAGGAAGGCGTAAAAAAAGAGTTGCGCGCTTACAAATAGAGGTGACAAATATGGTTTCCGGTGTTGACAAAATCGCGCGTTTTTTGTAAGTAAGCCGCCCCGAAGATTGGCGGCGTCAGAATGATTTCCGCACCGGTGAATCGCAAAGTGAGTCAGTCGCTTAATCGAATTGTGGCTCCTCAAGAAAAAAATAAGAGGGGGGGGGGTAGCACCCAAGTGGTGGGTCCCAAGAGCCCGACGACTGTCAATTACGGACCCCGGCCCCCTCACATCTTCTCGCCACACTCGTTTTATATTTAATTACACGGCTTGCAAATCTACCGTAATCCTCGTGTATGTGGTGTGTGCCGGACGGCGATTGGCCTTGTTTGGGCGATGAGAGCGACCTGCAATTAGCGCATTGTTTTTGGCGGATGATGATAGCAGCGAGAGTGCAACATTTGCAAAACAACCACACTAACGGGCCGAGCGATCCGTACGACATGAATTATGATAGATGTGCCTAATTTGGAAATTAGAGGCGATTTTGGGCCGAATGCCTAGGCTAATTCAAGGTTGAATGACCATGGTTTTGGATGGCGCGGGTCCTGGACCGAATTTGGCAAAAATTGAGGTTTCGCCACTCGTATAGGCCTTATTTTCACAATTTATCTCAATTTTGTATATTTTTTCGACAAAATTCCAAAAACGAGACACCTCAAATTCGTGTATTTGGCGGTAATTTCAAATTCGACCCGACCCGAAATGACTCCATCCTTGTGTTTGTGTGAGGTTTCGTTTCAAGTCTGGCCCGGATATGCGCCATAAATAGGATTAGCCATTGCGATGGCGGCGGCGATCGCAGTTTTTCCCATATTTGGTATTCAACAAATAATAATCGACGATTGTAAATGTTGAGTAGCTGTAAAGGTGTTTCTCAAGGTTAACCGGAAGGAGAGGAGGAATCCCAATTGGGATTCGGACCATTTGGTTGAAAATCGATTTGAACGAAATAGCAAAGAAAAAAGTATTTCAAGATTTTTCATTTATTTTTTGCGCCATAATATTTGTCTGAAAATTTTCCAACCGTTTCACCCATTTTTCGGAAATTACCTCAAAATTTGTTTCCGGATTAATCGAGGGTCCGATGCGCGAAAATTGAATATGTCAAAAATATGATCAATTTCGCCTCTCATCCATCGTGTTTTCAATTCACTCGACGCTTGACATGACAAGTTGAAAATGATGATGATGATGATGATAATTGTTGGGTGCCCGCGCGCGCTCTCCATCTCTCTCCTGCTTCCCTAATATGGAAATAGTGTGAAATATGGTGAGAGGGACCACAATTTCCCGCGCTATTAATTGACAATCGTGTTGTTGCGAATGTGTCATACGGTAGCGATGAATGAATTGCGAAGAGCAAATTATTATTATTATTATTATTACAGGCGGCTCGTCAGCGTGGATTCGAAATTGTTGTGGAGAGCGGAAAAGGATTGGCGGACAGCTTGAATCGGTGTGTCGATGAGAGGAATCCGATGCTCAATCGGCTTCTGCGAATGCTGGCGACGAGATGTATGACGCAAGCCGTTTATTTTTCGGCAGGTTTGTCATTATTGGAATGAAAACCGAGAAAACGTTTAAAAAAATGCGTTTTGACGCTATTTTTCAAAGGCGCATCTCAACAAATCAGAGGGATTTGGTTTCGAAGTTTTTTTTGTTTGTGAAATTTTTTTCACGAATTCCTGGGTGCCTATTCGAATTTGAATTGCCACCTTGGGTCTCGTAAGGAAGACAAATCTTAGAAGCGGAGTTTTGTTGAATCCAATCGATTTATCGAATCCGTTCGACTCGCAATTTTATCATCGCTGTGAGACGCATATTTCGAGCATTATTTTTCGAAACATTCAAAACAGCTTGACAAAAACTCCTTTTGTGAATCACGAAATTCGATTTCTGTGTCATTCCACCGTAACCCGTCGCCGTCCGTCATGCCTATTGATATTTTGTAACGATGGCGGTGAAGACGAAATGTGGAAATCGAAAAAGAAAAAAAAACGCGAATTGCGTCGTCGGCGGTCGACTTTATGCGATTTGCGACACAATAAGACGGATACGGTATTTTGTTGGGCAACTACGGTAGGATTGTGTTTGCAGGCACCGTACCCGTGCCGCAATACCAGCATTTCGGATTGGCGTGCTCGATCTACACGCACTTCACATCGCCGATTCGAAGATATGCGGATGTCATTGTTCATCGGCTTCTCGCGGCGGCGATCGGTGCTGATGACATCCAATCGGGCTTGCTATCGCAGGCGAAAACGCAGAAAATTTGCGCGAATATCAATTATAGGTAGATCGTGCTCGCAAATCGGATTCGAATGCTTATGTTGTTCAGGCACAAACAGGCGCAATATGCCGGCCGCGCGTCGGTTCAACTCAATGTGGTGCGATATTTTAGAGGGAAAGTCGAAACTTGCGAAGGATTCGTGATGGGTGTTCGAACGAATGGAATCCAGGTGACCTTTTCGTCAGTGAGCTTCCCGAACAGTTTGCATAAATTTATATGGTTTTTGTTCCGCGTCATTAGGCGTTCAACCTGCGCAAACGATGCCAACTCCGCGCGATAGATTTTTTTTTGCCATATTTGTTTTTGAATTCCGAGGTCGTTCCCAATAACCGGAAATCGTCGCCTAGGTCTTCGTGCCCAAATACGGTCTTGAATCGATCATTGTGCTTCAAACGAATTCGGAGGATACGGTAGTGGATATTGATGAGATGTGCGTCAAATCGAATGGCGAAATTGTTATCAAAGAATTGGGTGGGTTGGCGGCCATCGAATTGGTGCACGTATTTGTTATTGCAGAGCCGGTTACGGTGAGAATCAGCGTTAATGAGCAGAATCAGCAACGGCCGAGAGTTGAGATGCAGTTGGTGAAGCCGCAAATCGCCGGTCTCTCGGTGGACTTTGACCTTTCGTCATCAGAAGGACTATAATTTTAATTCAATTTGTTGTGTTATGTTTTGTTGTTGACGTTATATGCCATAAAAGGGCTGTGTTTTTTTTTTGAGCATTTTCTTTTCCTCATTGCAGGTGTGTGGTGTGTGTCCCCGGAGAGGTTGAGCAATTTTGCGGCGGCTTTTAGCGAAATAGGATTTTTCATTTTAATGGTCTTCATTTATTGAATGAGCACCAAATGTGACATATTTTTTTCCGATGGGGGATGAAATATGAGAATCGAAATGAAATAAATATTATTATACTGAATCACAGCGAGCGAATTGATTTTTGTGGTTTGAGGAGGTTGAGTTGATTCGTTTCGGGACCCGATGGATCACAGTTGGCCGGTGTAGGGTTGCGGCAGAATGCCGAGCGGCGTCCGCATTATCCAATCATCGGGATTCGCTGGATAAACCAGCGACATGTCGGCGGACGTCACGTGTGACGGCATTTTGTCTTCGGACGGTGTTGAGCTCGAGCTCGATGAGGATGAGGCTCCCGGCATATGGGACCATTCTTTTTGGAGTTTGGCTTCGAAGCCGAGAAGGTCGTTGATCGAGTAGGCTGTAAAAAAAATGAGTTGGCTCTATTTTGAAAAATGCTCCCTACGAGTGTTGGCGGCGAATCCTTGAGCAGACGAGGCCTGCATGCTAGAGTTCTGCGGATTTGATGATGATTTCATTGGTCCGCCACTTCCAGTCCCCGTTTGAGCCATGAAAGCCTGAAAATGAGTGAAGGATGAAGCCGGGAGAGAAGTGAGAAGCTTACCTTATTCCTGACGATCCTATTAATCGAGGAAACCGATGGGACATTGTCCGGATCGCAGACACGATCCTAAACATTTAATATGAATGCGCGTAGTACGGTAACAATGAGTGAGGTGTGTGCGCGTCGAGACCAACTCGTGGCTAATTTGAAAATCGCGCTGACCTGTAGAAGCTTCTCCCTAATCTCCCATGCGAACATTGTGGGATTCGCTCGCTTATAAGCGGCAATGCATCCGACGACTCTCGGCGTCGCCACTTTTGGTTTCGATCCGCCGATGACACCTGTAAACAGGATTACGGTATAAATGTGGGCGAGCGAAGCGAAAGAGGGATATCCGGTGGAAAAACTCACCGGGTCGCACCGATCCCGTCTCGTAGTAGCGGCCGAGAATCTTCGAAACACACCCATGGCTGACTCTGAACAGAAAAAAACGGAATATTGCGTTGAGCTGAAATTCGCGCTTCTCACCTTAGCTGCCTCGAAATATCGCATGGTCGGACTCCCTGATGAGCCATGTCGACGATTCGCGATCGAATATGATCGGGTAGTGGGCGACCATTGACGAACACGCCGCCGAGCTGATTTACACCGGTATGACTGTTGTCTGAAAATTGTCAGGATTGAGGGAATTTGTTGATATGTCAAATCGGCGTTGGGCGACTGCTGTCGATTTACGAGATGCGTCTTTGAAATGGTCTCGTCACGATGTTTATTTTGTCATTTTCACATGCAATTTTTTTTTGTAGAGATTGTCATTTCAAATTTGAAACCTCATTGAAATTTTAATATTGTCAAAATGGGTCCTGGAATCAAAAATAACTAGTGCTTCCGCATGAGACCCTAGCGAAAGGCGCATGCTCGTAAATATAGCCGTTTTCAGCCGATGCCAACTACTGAATATTCTAGATGAAAATTTGGGAGCTTCAATTTCGCTGTTTTCGATTTTCCATGAAAAATTCGACTAGCAACCCAATTTAAATCGAAACCTTCTAAGAAATTGCGATTTACAATTTCAAGCATTGTTGAAATAGGAGAAATTTCAGTAGGTCTTTGTTTTTTTGTATCACGGCTTGATAAAAAAAAAATAGAGTGCGCGAAAATTCGTTCAAAAATTCCCAAAAATTGAATGAGTCAAATTCGGGCCAAATATTTGTGTAGGCAAAAAATGAGAATTCAAAATTTGATGAATGTTTAAAGTGGTCTATCATCATAAAAAAAAGGAGAACCTTGAACAATTGTGGACCATCGTAATTTGAAATTCGGGTATCGTACTACTGATAACCTGCGAATCAAACTCACAGGGTTCTCGAATTTTTTTTTGGGGATTCTAATAGAATGGACGATGTATTTCGAAGGACTAAGGAAAAAATTTTTTATGAAAAAAAAAGTTTAAAAAAAAACACGTCAGCCGTCAATATGCCGAAACCCCGGAAGGTGTCGGAAGCGGTATATTTATATAGAAAATATAATGAGGAATTGTGAAAGCCGAAGAATGAAAAGGCGACAAACCGATTGGGAAAACCGCGTGCGAATGTGTGGGAACGCCGGCGAGACCGGGATGCGGGTATGGGTAGTAACCTCGCCAGAGTTGGTCCATGCTATCGGCTCGGATATATTCGTCGCTGCAAGATCAGTCAACCGTTTGGCTGCACGCCAATGCCCTTGGATGCACAGCGCGCACGACCCCCCATCGCCACGCCCACTTTTTATTCTTGACCACGCCCATTTGCCTCGCGGCGATTGGCTAGCCGTACTCGAGTTTTTTGGGAAAAAACGAGGACCCAAGAAATTTTTTGGAAACATCTCAACTAATGTTTAAGTGATATCGCTGAAATGCTGCACATTCGGGATTGCGTCTTCAAGTAATATTTCTACAAGTTTCATTTTATTTTATTTTTGAATTTAGAAATAAATTTACAATTAAGATACGCTTTTTTTGCTTGAAGGTTATCTAGCTTTGATATATTTACACTGCTCTCAATAAGTTTAAGACATCCTCTGTTTTTCGGGATTTTTCGCAAACCAAAAAATTGTATCAAAAATCTGTCAACGGCAATAAAAAATCCGCGAAACCCCCATTTTTTGGTGATCTAAAAATAGCTACTCCTCTGTCGAAATGTCAGGTCAAAAAGTTGAAGACCCTCCGAAAAATAGCTGTTATTTTTTTAAATTCTTATTTGAACATATCACAGATTTTTGAAAACGTTTTTGGTTTCCGAAAAAAAACCCAAAAACTGGGGGTGCGGGGGTGTCTTAAACTTATCGATCACTGCCATTTTTGGGTCTCGTTGCGATTAATCCTTCCAGCCAAACAATCAATCTTAAATTAGAATTTATATATTAACACCGCAAAATAATAATGGGTATTTGTGGACATCGTGTTTGATTTCTCTCTTCCTTAAAAGTGAAAAATTGAAATCATTTGATAATTCTTTTTGAAACGAATATCTTCGAGAATTTCTTGAAAAAAAATTGAATTTCGTAATTTCTAACGTAAAATTTTCAATCCATGAAAATCGATAATCTGTGAGAAATCTGAAAATTGGCGCGCAATTCAAAAATTCCAATATGTACCAGTCAAATTTTTCATTTTTTTTAACCTTCTGTAAACCTATAGGAACTTTATAATACATATTGTCGTAGGCGGACGAATTTGAAAATTCATATTATTATAGTTTGAAAATGTAAAAATCGCTCCTAAAGATTTTTCCATACGAGACCCAAGGCGGCAATTCAAAACCCACCCAAATTTCGTCTGTCGTTGATATAAATTAAGCTGACACAATATTGGACTTTTTTTACTCAACAAGCGGCACATAATGTTCGATCTTCCATAAGAGAATGATACACGACGGAAGATCGAACATAGGAGTAGCCGATCTAAAAGTACAAAATGTGTTTCATAAAAATGATATATTCTCATCCTCCTCGAAATTTGGCAATGTCATCTTCCATGCGACATCCAAAGTGTTAAAAAAATTGAAATACCAACTCGGTGGGCGCACTTTTCCGGCAAAGTCGTTAAAACGCACCCATTGTTCCAGAAAATGAGTGTTTGTTTCGATAATTAAAATTTTCGCCGACAAAAAAAAAACGTTTCATGAGGTACGCAACAACAATAACAACAGAAAAAAATGAATATTAACAACAATAAAGGACCATCGAATCCAAGATCACGCCTTCAATCGATCAAGAATGTGCTTCTTCTTCGGCGGCTCGTCAGTCTTATCCCCTCCGAACACTTCCTTCTCAACAGCGTTCCGCTCCAAATTCCTTTCCAGTCGAATTTGTCCTTTAACCGTATTCTTGCGAGCTTCCTGAAAAAAACTCACGAATTCAACAATTTTAAATGAATTTTTATTTAATAAAGCGTTCGATTGCGGTCTGGAGGCGATATTTGAATTATTGATAGAAAAATTCTAAGCTTCGCATGTTTGATTTGCAAAATTCAGTAGAGAATATTTTAAAATTATAAATTAGCAAAAATCTGACACAAATTTCTAAAAATACGTATTAATAGATTTTACAAATCCTTTTTTATGCTCATTCGAGGAAAATTAAAATAGTTAAAGATTGTTTTCGAAAGAATGTTTAGTCAATTAAAATTTCTAAGAAATGTTTGGCTTCTTTAACTTTTCTATAAAGTTGGAAAAATAATAAAATCATATTTAAAAAGTCTTTCGCAAGTCTTTAAAACCGCAAAAATGTTGCTGTCCGCCTCAAATTTTTCAAATTTTAAACAAACATTCTAGATCCTTATATGAAATGACTGTAAAAATCTCACAAATAGTCCGTTTGCGTGAAATTCGCATCTGAATTTTCATTTTTTTCATAGTAATTTTTGTGACACACAAAAAACACTTCTACAGCTAGCTTTTCATCTATCAAAACATTTCAAAAATCTACCATTTTGTATCCGCTCTTCTTCTTCTTCATCCTATGTCGTGGAGTGTATTCCACCTTGAACGGCCTAATATACAGAATCTTCTTTCTCTCCTCTTCCTCCATTTCAAGAAGTCCTAACAAATAAAAAAAATACTCGTTGGGGGAAAATGTCAAAAAATTGAAATTACCTTCATTAACCTTATTAATATCATCTGGATCAAGAGTAATAAGTTCCGGTTGAAGCTGAAATCAAATCATTGCTCATTTTACAGAAAGAAAACTGGAATACCTTATCAAGAAGCTGCTTAATTTCACGTTCTTTACGCTGACTTTTGGTCTCATACGGATTGGATCGAAGAGTATCCACATTTGGATCACCAGAACCTATATCGGGGTCATTATGAGATATATTGGAAGGTTAGAGTACCTGGAACCAGCATACTGGTGAATCCGCGCGAATGCCCAACACCCAACACGTCTTCCCACGGAACAAATCTCAAATCATTCACCATTCCGCCACAATTATGCACCAAGTATGGCTCGGAGCATTTTCCGGTGTGCATATCTTGGAATACCTGAGGAATTTTTTGTTTGCGATGGAAACCAAAAAAAAAACGCCTTACTTGGACATAATTTCCCACCGCGCATGCTACATGAAGCTTCTGCGAAATCGCCACTTCGCTAACACCAAATGGAAGAGAATACGAATGAAGTTGGCGAAACATTCGAACATCCCAAATTCGGCATTTCCTGTCGAGACCCGTCGTTGCCATATAAGTGCCCTGATTGTCGACAGCGACTCCTTTAACGCTGCTCAAATGAGCAAGAATTTTCACGAGTGGCTCTTTCGAGTTTGGAGACCTGAACATATGCGAAAACGGACATTGTTTTTTAATTTCAAAATTTCAATACCACAGAGAGACGGTTCCATTGGTGTGACCAGTGTGGATGATAGCATTCGCCGGATTCTGGCACATAACATCAAGACTTCCAGATTTTGTGGCGAACGAGAGAATCTCTTTACCAACCGATACATCGATATAGTTAAGAAATGAGTTTCTCGACTAAAATATAAAAATTTATTGAAAATCTCAAAAAAAAAATTAAAAATACCCCTCCAACTAGCAAGAAATGTCTCGGCAGGAACTCCAATCTGGCCACATCGTACATCGTTTTAAGGCAATGCAATTCGGTTCCGATATTATCATAAATGTACGTATAATTCTTCTGTGCAACTGCGATATAATTTTCAGTGTGCAGGAATCTGAAAAGAAGTGCTATAAATTCTGGACTTGATTCGAGAATCGTTACTTGACATCTGAGACCTTCTCCATGACGTTCTGCTCGCTGTGCAGATATTTAGTTTGCCAATCAATTGAAGCAACATGCCCTTTTCTTCCGCCAATCACCAAATGCCGTCCGTTATCCGTGTAATCGATGCGATACGGCCCAAATTTGGGTAAATTGAGCTCAAAGTGCTGGAAAAGAACAATTCTAGTTTCTTTGTTATAAAATTAACTTCTCAAACCTTTGTCGCCGCTGCTAAATCGACACTTTGCGCGATTTCTTTTTGTCGGATTGAATATGACAAATTGTCGTTTTCTTCAACTTCTGGAGCAATAAAACCGGTCTTGAATGGACATTTTATTAATTTCATCATCCTTTCTTGATTATTACCTCCTCTTCCAGCCGCTTTTCAGCTTTTGCTGTTAATTCGATACGTTTTTCGAATTTTTCTTTGACAATCCGGAATTTTTCTTGTTGTAATTTCGACCTCATCGCATTTGGGTCGATTTTTGAAGCTCCTTAACAATTTTTAATTATATTCAAAACTCTATTTCAATATCCTACCAGTGTTGTGCCTTTTCTCTTGCTCTTTGGTTAATTGGAAAGGTTTCTCCTCTTCTTCGCCATTTTCACTATTTTTGCTTAAGAACGTTTTCGATTTTTTCTTACTGCCACTCAATTTCTGCTTCATCTTTTTGTACTCCTTCCAACTTAACTTAGCTTCTGCTCCTGAATCAAATTAAAATTCAATCTCGATCAAAAATAAATAATTTACCTCCAGAATGTGTGACATCGGAAGATTTAAGCGTCACTCGCTCAGTTTTCTCCGATTTCTTGCGACTTGGTGGTGCCATAATTACTAAATATATCTTTTTTAGTTTAATATTAAAAAAACAACGTGAAAACGAAAAAAATGAAAAAAGAAACAGAAACTTTGAAGAAAAAATATTTCAGCAGTGTATTACGGTATGTTATGCACACCGTGTTTGCGGACATGACCCCTGCCAACTGCACACCGTAAACATTTTAAATTTAATAATTCAAAATTCTCAATTTTTACCTTTTTTCATTTTTCTTTTCAATCTTCTGTCAAAAATGGAGTAAGGTCGGAGATTTTAAAATTTTTTAAGAACATAAGTTATAGAAAAAATAAAATTGAAAGCCTCGCGAAGGAAAGTTGCTTGTTTTTGACAATAAAATTTCATATTTGACAAGATTTTTAAAACTGAATTTTTTTATTTTCATTCAATAAACATTATAATTTCAATCACAGTCGAATCACCTATTGCACGGAAAATCGAAGCACGTCGAGTAAAATCGCTAGAAAGAAATCAAACAAAAAAATATCGTCTGGCACATGGACATAATTGTGAACTCATTTGGGCGAATAAAAAGAAATGATGCGAATTCATATTTTGGTTCGGGAAAAAAATAGGTGAAAGAAAGGGAAACACACATTTCAATTAAAAAAAAAAAAAACACACAACGAAATTGCAAGCACCCATAAATATTATTTCGAGCAAACCAGATATCAGAACAATCGTCGTCGAGAAAAAAGCAAAAATTGCAGAAAATGAGTGAATTCTACAATGATATGGCTCGCTAATACAAATTAGTCATCTTTTCTTTTTTCTTAGAAAAACAACAGCAAAAAAAAAAACAAAAAAAAAGGCAAGAAATAATATAAGAACCATTTTTGACGAGATTAGAATATACTGAATGCTTTTCAATTGCCGATTTCTCGTTTCAAATGTTGAAGGAATTCGATATAAGAATGTGTGGATTCCGAACGATCATCGACGAGTCTTCGAACGAATTGCTCGCGAAGCGGAGAATGCTCACTGAAATTTGAATAATAAATTAAAAGCGCAGAGTGGGTCCCAATGGACAAATTATGAAATTATTTTATGGATATCTTGAAGGAAAACACTAAAAATTCGTTTTTTTTCCAGGAAAACTGGTTTTAAACGCATTTTTTTCCCTTGAAATTCGCATAGCTTCAGTTGCGAAAATTATTTCTATTAGGTTGTTGGAAAAAACTGCAATTTTTGATTTTTTTGTATTTATCACATGTCATTCTCATCAGATCCACCGGACATGGTGGCACGGAATTCCGTTTTTGAAGATGAACAAATTTTTTTCACGCCCTGATAGGAAAAAAATTCTTCAAAAAACCAAGACGATTCCAAAATTTAAAAAAAACGTAAGATATATTAGATGTTCAAAAAGACGTCCTCTTAATTTCCCAATTGCAGAATTCCAATTAAAAACGCAATTTTCAACGGGCCACTACAAACAGAACTCACGTAATCGTTATGATAGGTCCCAAATAAAATCGGAACAATGTAATATGCTTGAAGAACGCGAAGACCCTCTTCGATATCTCATTTTCCTTCTCAACTAATGAGTTCTGCAAAGGAAAATTGTAAAAAAAATGTTCAAAAAAAAAAGGGAAAACCTCTTGAATCTCATTATATGGACATTCGAACAAACTCTGAACCATTGTGTGGTCCGACGCCGCCGAAACATAAACATAAAACGCCGAGCCCGCTTCCATCGCATAAATTCCATCACGTTGAACTTGCTCAAACGACAACGGAAGCGGTTTCGGCCAATTCTTTTTGTCATCATCAGCGGAATTCTAAATGACATTTTTTAAAAAAATAAACGAAGAAGAAAAAGACGCCACTACCATAAGCTCATTCAATCGATACAATTTCGGATAAATATCCGACAATATCTGCTCAAGCGGACTGAATCGAAGCATCAACATCGAGGCAACACGATCGTCTAATCGAATTCCGCGAGCTGACGTGAACGCTGGCTGAAAAAAAGAAACATTTCAAAGATAGAATTTATTGAATACGTTGGAGCAAAAAAACTGATGAACGATCAAAATTTCAAATTTACCAATCTATTCGATTTGAGTTAAAAAAAACCATTCGAAATTCCAAAAAAAAATATGATTGAACTCACATGCTTTAGGAGTGCCAAAACATAGCTCGGGAAGAGCCGCAAATGGCCAGTTCTCGGTACAAGCATTCCGCCGCCTCGCGAGACCGCCTTCTGATAAGCTCCGACGCTATCAACGACAGCGTTCACCAGCGCTTCTCTCGAATCAGCAATCGCCGCGCCGCACATTGATCGTTCAATTCCTGATTCAATTATTCAAATAAAATTGTTCAATATATCTAAATCTTACCAATTTTGGATAAATACGAGACAGTCGCTTTCAGGTCAAAATTGTTGTAAAGCTGTAGGAGATCACCCGTCGTTGGTAGACACATCGTATGAACGCGAATCCGTCGATCACCTAAATCGGTATTGTTGGAAAAAACAAATTATGAGGAAACCATCGAGAAATGTCTACCTTTACTTGAAGTGTATAAAAGTGCTGATTGGAAGCAGACATATTGCGACAATTTCTCTTCAATCGTCACTTGGACAGCAAGCGCCGAATCAGGATTGACATTGGCGAGCGCGAGGAGGTCGGGTGACCGAACGAAGAAGTTTCCATAGAAGCCGGTGAGAGCAAGACCTGAAAAAAGTTGAATTACTGTCTCGAAAATATGTGATGGCCCACAATTATTCAAGGTGCACGCATTTTTTAGATGGTGATATTTGAAGAAAAAAAACAGTCAATAACTCGAATTATAATTAAAAAAAAACACTATGTTTAAAAAGAAAATTTAAATTTTTTAAAATTAATTTCTTTTAAAGATAACTTTAAAATTTTCTCTTCTTTTTTTAAATTTGCGCTAAAGCCTTTCAAGTTTTCAACAAATTCTTACCTCTGGTGGTTCTAATCCTTAAAACTGCTTCAAATCCAATCTTCCTTGTCAAATATCTTGTAAAAGTCTTCTCAAATCGTTTCACCTGCAAAAAACCAACCTCAAAATTGACATATCAATTAAAAAAAAATTCTACCTGAATTCCATTCTGGTTCACATTATAATTCGGGAAATAATAAATGCATCCAGTTGAGAATTTCGCGACTTCAGCTGAAATTCAACGAAAATTGTGAATTTTTTTTTACCGTTCTCATTTGCTTACAAATCGTCGCCAAATCCGCATACTGCGTGTTGAACATGAACAAGTCAAGGCACACTTGGTTTCCGGTGCAGTCCAATGAAAGCGCCTTGTAGAAATCCGTGGCGGGACCCAAATTCTGTCCACCGTCCGAGCTCTTTCCATCATCTCTCGATTGCAATGCTCCAAGACCCAAATTTGGGAGTGTCGCTTGGAATATCGAAATTCGACCGCCAATTTCAGACTAGAAATATTAAAAATGAGAAATATGGGAAACACACTTTTTTTTGAATAATTACAATTAACTGATGTACTATCCGAAGGGCCGAACCAAGGCAATTCCCATTAGAAGTGGGACCAATTGAATACAAAGTTGGAAGATTCTTGATGAACGTTCGAATGACATCCCCAAATTTTTTGATTGGAACAAGAAGAGAGGTCACCGCTGGCAAAAAAGCATCTGAAAATCGAAATTTTTAGAAAAAAATCAGCATTTCCGATGAAAATCAAGCTTCTCACCTTCGACATCATCAACAATCATTTCGCAAGGCCCTCGTTTTTGAGAGTTGAACGAGAAAAAGTGCAAACAGCTATCAACGGCGATGAACGCGATTTGCGCACGCTCATCTCCAGGCATTTGATCGATATTGATCAAAAGCTGTTCGGAGAATGTCCGCAGATAGCCGGATTGAATCGCGTTCGCGCTCACGTCAAGAACGAACACGTAAACGGCGGGTTGAGGCGGTCGAAGCTGAAAAAGCAAAATTCGATTCGCTAAAAACAATTTTTACTAACCATATATTCGGATGGCGCAATGAATTCCACTGTCGCGTTCTGAATCTCCGGCCGATTTCTTGGATCACCGAACGATTTTGATACGGGATCCCAGCAAAAATCATCGGGAACTGAAGGGAATTCAATTCGATTGGATTGAAAAATTGGAAATCTTACGATCGTTATTGCGATTACACAAATTGCATTTCCAGTGGCGATGATCCGGTAAGTAAACATATGGATTGATATAGGTCCGACAGTATCGACAACGCACGATATTTGTGGTTTGAATTATGTTGAGATTCTGCAAATACATTGCGAAAAATGAAGGTTCTTTGAAAATCGATTGTCAAAAAGAAACTATGTAGAAAATATGCCTTAAAAATTCTCCCACCGATAGTAATTTGGGCTAAAAATACGAAATTCATACAAGTAATAAAGACAAGCTTGATTCACACTGTTCAACCAATTAAAATCGTACCTTAACATCCCTAAATGGATGGAGTGTAATTGCTAACGGCAGCCTACTCTTTTTCAACAATTCTTCAGAATTTGGAACAACTTCGAGCGTAGATCGGAAGATGCTGAACAAAACTAATTATATATTTTGTTTTCTCTCAAAAAAGCGTACTTTGGATCAACATGAGCTTCTGGATTTGCAACTTGTGTTGGTAATTGAACATCGATGTCATCAAATCCGTATTGTTGGATATTGCGTTCCGTCATCAGATCAATCACATCACTTCGATATTGAGAATTAGCCGCCATTGGATTCATATTCTAGAAGAAAAATGTTTTGTCAAGAATAAAAAAACGAAAATGTTACCATTTGCCCAAATTGCTGATTCATTTGATTGACTGGATTTGGTTGAATTGGATATTGAGCGCCAGGAGTTGGAGGTGCTTGAAAACTGGGAGCTGGAGCAGGTGCTGCCGGGTATTGCAATCCGTTTGGCTGTGGCATCGATGGGGCAGGTGCAGTCGCCGCCGGCGTTGGAAATGGCGGTGGTGCCGCCGCATTTGGGAATGACGATGGCATTGGAGCTGGTCGAGCATTTGGAAATGCTGATGGTGCTGGAGCAGCAGGGTACCCGTTTACAATTGGAGCTGGTGCAGCTTGTGGAAATGATGGCGGTTGGTGTGACGGTGGCGGAATCGTCGCCGGAATTTGAGGCGCCTAGAAATCGTTTGATTTTAATTCCAATTTTTCACTTATTCGAAACACTCACCGGAATTTGCATATTGTTGAATTGATGATTTGCAGTACTAGTTTGGTTGTAAGCTGTCACTGGAGGTTTTACCTACAGGAAAGATGATTTAAAAAAACCGTAATTTAAAAATAGTAAGAACTCACCGGGAAATTATTGTTTGGTTGTGGGAAAGGAAAAGGATTTGCTGTATACGTACTATGCCTAAAATAACAGAAATTAATTTTTAAATATTCACCATCAACAAAAACGAAATATTACCCATTATTTATTGTTGAAGGTTGCGGCTGTGGTGAAGCATATTGATTGAACTGCGATACCGGTTGATAAGGTTGCTGGCTGTATGCCTGTGGAAAACCGGCATTTTGTGGCTTTGTCGGGTTTACTGACATCCGACGATATTGTGTAACCCGCTGAAATAATACGAAAATTACAAAATAGATAATGATTGCGTAAGTAGCAAAAAGGCAAAAAATAGGGAATTGCGCTCTACAGTAATATTGTGTAATTGTGCGTCGCGCAAAACGCACATTTCTTCAAAAATTAATTTCATGGCGATTTTGAAATGAAAATTTCTCATCAAATTTCCCTTAATTCTCATCATTCTTCAAATTTACGCTTTTTCCGACTTTTTTCTTAATATAACTCTATTCATTTCGCTAACATCTTCATAAAATCCACGAAGAAATAAATTCCAAGAAAAGAACTAAAAATAAACAAACCTGTTCTCAAGAACACGTTCAAATAAAATACAAAAAGCGCACCGGTTTGCGTAAAAGTTTAATAAAAATTTCTTTTTTTCGACACTAACAAAACCACTCAAATTTTTACACCGAAACTAGACAAATTAGCGTTCCTCAATTAAGTTGAACAATGAATCGAATTAGGCTTGAAGTGTGAACAGTTCAGTGTGTGTAATAGTGAACAAATGGCATGAATAAGTGCAGTTGGCATGAAACCCCCCACCACCACTCGATACCGTAGTAAGATTCGCAGGCGCGTTGCGGCCTCGTCTCTCGTTCGGCCGTCTCTCTCTCTCTCTCACATATTTTGAACGTTCACTGGCCTGGTGCACCATTCTCGACGCTAAATAAGCGATTCCTTGCGCGTTTTTCGTCATTCAACGTTCACATTTTCCCATTTGATAACTACCGATTCTTGCAGAAGGCGATTCTCGAGCTAATGAACTTCATTTAAATGGTCAGAATACCAAAAAGGTAAGTGTTTCGGTTGGAAATTTGAAATCGCGAACGCGATTTTGCAGTGATGCTCATCATTCTAACGACATGTCTTCAAACGGTGAATATAAAGACAAACAAGGCAGTGGAGCTGGTCTCCCATTGACGAAAAGTGAAAACAGCGATGGTTTGAACTAAAATTTTCTATTTTTCAAAAAAAAAATTGGGAAAAGCTTGGAAACAATATTCTGGATATTTTCACGAAAAAAAAAACAGACATTTGTCTCACTTTTCGACTAGAAACATGATATTTTCTTTTAAACGTGAGAACTTTTAGGTCACGTGATACGCCAGATTGCGCAAAAACTAAGAATTAGATCTTTTTGGAGATTATTTCTCAAAAAGTATGTTGGTTTTCCAAAAAAAAATCATGAAAATGAATTAGTATTTTTTTTGTTGTCGTGCGCTTCTTCTGGGCAAAAGTTCGCTGCACTTTCTATTTTTGGAATTCGTTTTTGTTTTGTTTCGATGATTCTTGAATTAAACGCGTAGAGCTGTTTGTAAGAAAAACATCATCATAAAATAAATCCATTAAAACACCCATTTCGAGAAATTGTTTTAAATCTATACAGTAATCCATAGGAAGATGATGATGTTGTTTAATATGGATTTAGGTTTCTAAAGTGTGCAAAAATAAAGAAAACATGGAATTTAATTATAAATTTTAGGCATGAAAATCTGGAAAATAGGCCACGTATGTGATTTTTCCGGTTTTTAATGAAAGTGCGATTTAAAATATTATAATTGAAGGCAAACTCTCCAAAAAAGTTAGCAAAGTTTCACCAAAGCTTCGTAAGATAGGACTGGATTCATAATTTTGGCATTTGGGGTATAACGGAGATATTTAATGAATAAATAGGAAGAAACCCAACATTTAACAAAGGAACATAGGGGTTTTCTAATTTCGCATAGAAATAGATCGCGAAATTCCTTATTGTGTATGTTTATTTCAAAAAATCCCAAAATTGTGAGTCTGAAGTTTCAAATTTTATTTATTTTTCGTTAACTGTTTCGTTTTTGTTATAAAATATCTTTGTCGAAATTAATAAACGCGTATTATTTTACAAAAAAATGATGGTTAAGTCTTTTCAATAACTATTATGTCGGTTGATCAAAAAATTTAAATTGTTAGTTCTTAATTCCAAATATTTCCTAGTACTTAAATTCTTGCAGTTTATTGGTTTTAAAGGGTTTCCTGGAAGTTGTTTTTATAACGTTTTCACAATTGTAACTTGAATTACGTGCAAACCCCTTTTCAAAAGCACCAAGTTCGATATTTTTGTTTAAATTCCGCAAAATTCCATATTATTGCCTAAACGCCAATTAAACGAGCGTTCATCTTATGGTGTTGGGTCTCGCAACTAATTATTTCGAAACCTTTCGTAAATAAATATATTGACTACGAACCTTCTCGTACACACGCGACGGACATTTAATTCATTTTTCCAACAAAAATTTCAAAAAATAATTATTTTGGTTTTGTTAAACATCTTTTGAAAAAAAATTTTTAACAAGAAAATTTTTTAGAAAAAAACTGGTATTTTTTTGCCATTCAAATGTTGGTATCGCAGTAATACGAAATTTTCCAAAAAAAATAATGGTTTACCAACACACTAAAACAATTTTATTCGGTCCCCATTCTTCGAAATACGGCCATAAATTTTTTCCTTGTTTTTTTTTTCATTTAAAAAATCCAATTTATTCAAATCCTCTTTCTATAGAACCTTTTATATTCAGTTCGAACAGCTGCCAAACACCTGCACCATTCAAAAATGTTCTTCTCCTTGTAATCAAACAGACATCGAGGCGGCTTTTTCTTGTCCAAACCGAAAAAAAAGCTCTCAACCGGCGAATTTTCGTGTCTAATCTTAACAGTTCTAGCCGGGTGCGAGCCTGGCCGCGGCCGGCCATGCCGGATAGGCCGTGGTTTTTCCTACGTCGCGTCCCAAAGTCATTACATTCATATTTTATAACGTTTCTCTTTTATTATATTAAAATTGTCTTGTCTTGAATATGTCTAAAAATTGATAACGCTTCGAGTTTTGTGATGAAAAACAATTTTTTGGGCGATAAGCATTCAAAACTACTGATAAACCTTCGGAAGACTCCGCCGAAGGTTGGCTAATTCTTCAAAAAAAGTTTTTATTTCAGGCAAAAAGACGCTTTCGAACGGAATGAGTCGCGTTCATCGCGTTTACACCGATGAAGAATTGGCGCAAGGCCGGAATACACGATGGACGGAGCTTGAGATTCATGGTATTTGTTTCGTTCCTCATGTTTTTTTTCTTGTGTTGATTAATGCGACCCAATTTTTTTTCTTCGGTTCAGGACGCGTTCGAAATTTGTCGCCGGCACTTTGGCAGAATTCGCATTTGTCGGCGCTTTTCCTCAACGGCAACCAATTGACGAGAGTGCCGCCGGAGATAGCGCAGGTTGGTGGTCCCTTGTGAGAGTAGGAGGTGGAAAATTATGGAACTTCATCTCTATCTGTTTCCTTTTTTTTAATAATTAGTGAATATGACGTAAACAAGTGAACGAGAAACCCGAAGAAGATAATCCATCGTAAATCTTAAAGTGTTCGATGGTTAATTGCGCGGATTTGAATGCAAATGACCATCAATTACTGGTAAACATTTCGGAATGGTGTTGTCATGGTCTTTTTTTTCGTTTCGAATAGCCAACAAATCACAACTCATTAATTTTTGGCGTATGAGCTTGACAAATTTTGAGCAGATTGCTCGTAGAATGATATGAGCCCTCTTTTATGAATTACCATTTGTGTGCACGTTTTGAATTTAAGATGTATTGAACAGATAAATCATGTTTCGCGAGGCATCGCCAAAATTTTTGAAAAGTCATCTAGTTTTTTTTTCATGAGAGACTCAACGAAAAAAAAACACGATTTGAATTCAAAAATTTAAATTAAATGTTAGGTCTTGTGGGTGCAATACTGAAAAAAAAAAACTTTTTTGAAAATTCTGAGAACACAATAAAACGGGCCTATTTGGCTATTAACTACTATTAAAAAGGAAAATGTTTCTTGAATTATTTTTTTGTTTAAAGTATTGCCGGCGTCACAAAAAAAAAGAGCAGTGTTCGCCTTTGCTCGTAAATCTACACCTTCAGTTTTGCGCCAAGACTTATCTAAATATTTACCAGAAATCATCGTTATCCGTAAAATTAAGAATTCCTGTGAATTGGCACATTAAAAAAAGGGTTGAAACCGAAAAAAAATGAATATTTTTGCAGCTGACTAATCTAACAATGCTCGACTTGTCCCACAACAAGCTTCGCTCGCTTCCGACGGAACTCGGTGATATGATCACTCTCTGTCATCTTTATCTCAATCATAACCAACTTCGTGTTCTACCTTATGAGCTCGGAAAATTGTTTCGAATTCAAACATTAGGTATAACTTGTTTTGTAATGAAAAAGAAAAGAAATCGAGAATAATTCATTTTTTTTTCGAGTTTTCAGGTCTTCAAGGCAATCCGCTATCACCGGAAATAAGCAAAATATATCACGAGTCGAACGGCTCGCTGAAAATATTGCAGTTTCTGTTGGATCACTTAACAAGTTAGTTTCATTTTCGAGTAGTATCTCTTTTCTCGAAATCCCTGGGAATTGTTGATTTTCATTTTGGACGAGCAAAAAAAAAACCGCGCTCATCACATGATTAACCAGTCACGAATTGATTGTTTGTAGGCAAAACAACTACATTTATTAGAGTTTTTAGAATATGTTTAAAAATTGTATCGAAAACAATGTTCATGATAATCACGCGCGTGCGCTGTTAAGAAAAAAAGCTGGAGTTTTCGAGAAATTATTTAATTTTGGGTTAAAAAAATATATATGTATATTTGGCTAGTTTGACATATGGGTTTCACATTATTCGTGGGATTGCAAAGAAATCCGTAGAAATTGGAAATTGTGGTGTCGAATTGAAAAATTTGAATACAATAATAATGGGTGTGTTCAGAACACAAAACATTAACTTCCAATTTTTATTGATTTTACTATAATTATGATCTCGAAATCGCCATTGGGAAAGGTCCGCAGATGGGAATTGAAAAAAACCTGTTTAATAGATTTAAAAATCACAAAAAATGATGGGAATTCATTTTTTGTTCCATTCAGTCCAATTCATTACGAAAAAAAAAAAATTTTAAAACACTAAATTATTTTTTAATGTCAATATTTGGCCAAATATTGACAAATCGTCCCAAATACCAGTTTGATTCGTTCATTCTTGTTGTCAGAAATCGGGTCGTTTGTTGCAATGCCATCAGTCTGAAATTAGTGCGTAGTAATAATGGTTGTCATCATCATCATCATCATCATCGTCGTCGTCGAATGGCGATGGTGGCGTAAAAGTTTGTTCGAACTAGAAGAAGACGAAGTGTGTGTGTGTGTGTGTATGTATGTTCGTCAGAAATTTGAAAGATTTACGGCGCCTCGTTCACCCACTCCAATGTTGACATTTTTTTGTTATGTCTGGCGAATGAGAAATTGAACAATTTTTGAGTGACACGAGAAACGATCGAATTTGGGCATTTCTAGTATGATTGAGGACTCGCGGTGTTCCAAACTCAAAGCGGCCGGCTTCACCTCCCTCGCAATTCATCGAAACATTCGATGAAGACGATGTCGCATTGAATATTCAACAACATCCCATAACCGGATGAATGCCGAGCTCAAGGAGATTTTTTTCTTCGTCGTCTTCTACTAGGAAAAATTCCATAATTGGCGGGTTGTACGAGTCGACAATTAAATGGGACCATAAATGGGTTATTCTTTTTTTTTTTTGAATGTCTGAGGTGGGCTACCGTAATCCGCTATTTTTCACACTCTCGACCGGATTCTGATTATCAATGATGATCATATGGTTTGCGATCACACTTTTCGAATAGGGCGGTCAAAGAAGAAGAAGAAAAAAAAAGGAAGTCGTTGTTTTCGGATATCAATGGCCCCGCCCAGTTTTGAATTTCGCGCCGAAGGCCTTTCGTCGTCTTGCCGCCGCAAACTGGCGTATTGCCGTAGACGAAGAAGCTGAATCCAGTGAGGCAGCGGTTTTTCTCTCGGTCTCCGCGATTGCCTCGCCGCCGAACGCCCCGCCCCCTCTCTTGGAGTGTTGTGTGTGTGTTGTGTGCCAGTGTTCGAGGAGCGCTTGTTGCACACCTTTCATTCCATTCCATTTTCGGTCGTTTTCCATCGACTGCTGCTGTCCCATTTCAAATTGTTCATCATATTCGCATTCCTCGCCAACACTTCCATCAACCTAATACTCAAACCGATTTCTTCTTTTGTTTTTGATTCATATTGTGTCTCAAGATCGCGGCGACACTATTAGGGGCATGATGTATGATGCCTGAATCGGACTCATCGGGCTCTGCGACGCACCAACAACGAACAATCGCCAACAGCAATAATGAGCGCCGCAATTCGAACGGCAAGCGATTCGTGAGACGCGCGCGTCGCTGGGCCGAACTTCAGCATCGACGGCAGATGAAGAGGGATGAGACGCCGCACACGGGCGTTCCCGAACCACCGAACGTCTATGATTATGTGGAGGTCGCCACCGGCGGCGACGATGGCATATCGGCGACGACGACGCCGAAGACGAGCTTGGGCCACCGACAATCGTTTCCGTTGCACCCGCGACGGCAGCCGATGTTTTACGCGACACGACACGCGCCTTGCTATCGCAGCGCCTCGGATGTGCCAATATTCTACTATTCGGAATGCGTCAATGAACATGGAGTGCCGTACATCTCGTTGTGGCAAACCGGCGGCTTGCCGCGCGCACTACGTCAGAACTCGCCGTCTTCATCGTCGGATAGTATGCTGTCGCTGATCACCAATGATCTCTCGACGACGAGCATTCATTCTCCCAACTCATCGTCGTCATCCAGCGAGCAGGATGATTACTATTACGAGTTTCTGAGTTCGTCTCAATTGCCGGCGAAACGCGCGGCGCCGCCGTTCGCCAAACGCGACTCGGCGACATCGCAAAAGCCGAAAAAGTTGATCATCTCGAAGCCGCTCTACATTCCTCCAGACTTTTTGGGTGAGTTTAGTGCTTCTTTTTTTTCGCCATTTTTTTTCCACCACTCAACCGCCTGAATCAACAATGTTGTCTAGGCGGTATTCCAGACGGCAACGAGCCAGAGTTCAAAAGTTTAAAACATGACTTGATATACTCGTGATTGCCGGTGCTTTAATAGATACCTTGAGCTTCTTCGAAATGCCAGAGATCAGAAATCTGCTAGAAATTATTGTTTATCAAAAACTATGCCATAAAAGGTCACGTTTTGTCAAGAAGCGCGAAAAAATACACTGATGAGGAAATTTTGAATAATTCTTTTTTTTTAACCCGCGCGAATGTCCTTGCAAACGCTAATGTTACTTTTTCTTCTCTCATCTCCATGTATCTTCTCATCGATTCGAGTGTTCATCATCAAGGTATCTCTATCTATCTATTCATCCTCGAATTGCGCGATTAGCTAATTGACAGGCAGGGGGCATGAAAGCCACCGAACAGAGGCAGCGGCGGCGGTGAATCGGCGACACTGATTGCGCCATGCACTTGCTTTCGATTCGCGCCATATACATGTATATTTAGTACGAAGTGTGTGTGTGTGTGTGCTGATGCGTAAATATTAGTGAGGGCTATTTGGGGAGCGGTTCAGTTCGTGAACCCGGTCGCCCTGTTTTCTTTTTTTTTCTGTTCGATCGCCACTCTCATTCCGAGGAAGAGATTTTGTATTATGGCATAATGTTGGCTTGTTAACAAGTTTTTGCCATCTTCAAGGTGACTTGCCTGTGTGTTACGTATGTCGATCTAAAAGGGGGATATGAGGGAGGCGAGTGCGAGTGTGTTGGAGAAAATCGAAAGTGCATTTTGCTTCCAAAAGTGAACTGCCTGATTAACTCTGATGGTGTTCGTCATGGGAATAAATGAAACATTCAAACTGAGAACATTTTTCAAATCTCAAAGCGGTCTTCCCGTCGGACCCATAAAAATTTCTGAAAATTTTGTTTTTATTATTTATTGTTTGTTTGCGGCGGCGGTGTCTCTCTCAGCCAAATGCACCAGATCGCTTATTCGTTTCTAATCGCGGATTTCGATCGCAAGCCGTAGTTTTTTTTTGCTTCTTCTCATTATTTTTTTCTGCTGCCTGCCTGCCTGCCTGCCTGCTTTGAGACCGAACACGTTTGTTGGCTTTTGGGAATTTGGGCGAGAGTTTTCTGAAACGTGAGAATATCGAATTTATCGTCGTCGACAACATCTAGAAGTGAATTGGGCGGGGAAGGTGAGAAAATTTCGGAAAACTGGAAATTTTCATGTGTGGCAAAGTCTTTGCAAAAAATGACGAGAAACTTCGGTTACTGTAATCCAGAAATGTTCGTGAGTTTGATTATCCGCAGAATGGTACACGCATTCCCACTGATCAAGTTGAAATATGAATTATCGCGCCAAAAAAAAAATAATTTTACGATCCACAATAACTCAATGGCGCGTTTGGGTCAGGGGGCTTTCTTGACAAACCGATTTTTGATGTGTTTATTTATTTGTGCGGCCTCGTTCACATCCATTGAAATCTAACCATCGACACGAGATGTTTGCACTGGGTTCTTGCGCGAATTCGCGACGAAACCGACAAGATCATCATGAAAATTGTGTGTGTCGAACAATTGAATTCATGGAAGATCAAAGAATTTTCGGTTCTCTATTTTTTTTTCTCACCAAGTGCGTGCGCTTGACATAATTTCAAGCTCAACGCATTGTGTCTAATGCTGAAGACGTCATTTCGAGATGGTGAAATCAATTCGGAAATGATTAAGACGCTTTTTATTCACATTTCGCATACTTCCTTCCTTTTTTGTGGAACATGTATGTCGATTTACGCGATGCGTCTCGACACGCTCTAGGTCAAGTTGAGGTTTCGCTTTTTTTGGGGGTAAATATTTGAAAGGGTGCAGTAGATCAAGGTAGTAGGATGCTTTTCGTGGATATTAGACAAGTGAAAGTTCCCAGGGATTTTGGATATGTGCTTAATACACGGATATTTCAATTTTCGTAATTTTTTCAGTCAACACTGTGCCACCACCGGAGAGAAGTTGGGTGATGATAAGGAATACGGTATCCGAGAGGCCAATAGGTAACAATTTTGTAGTTGGCTCCTTTAAATCGAATTGTTTATAGCCACTTTCACCGCCTTGTGCTATAATGTGCTTTGCGATAAGTACGCGACGGTCAATCAATATTCGTATTGTCCGTCTTGGGCGTTGAATTGGGAATATCGGAAGACTTTAATACTCAAAGAGATTCGCACCTACGAGGCGGATATTATCACGTTGCAGGTATTCCGAATGAAGTGTTTCGTTTGAATTTCGAGGTTCTCCTGACCGGAAATTTGTAGGAAGTTGAAACCGAGCAATTCCGAACATTATTCCAACCCGAGCTCAAATCTCTTGGCTACGTTGGCATTTTTACACCGAAATCGCGCGCGAAAACCATGTCGGAAGAGGAACGGAAGTATGTTGATGGATGCGCGATTTTCTGGAAGACTGAAAAGTAGGACTCGTTGAAAATCATTTAAATTATGCTCATTCTATTTTTTTTTTGTCAGGTTTGAGCTCGAGCGGCAACACGCCATTGAGTTCACGTCGTTGGCGATGAAGCGCGCTTCGACGAGTGAGAACATGCTGAATCGTGTGATGCCGAGAGACAATATCGCCCTTTGTGCGGTGCTCAAAGTCAAGGAGAGCGTTTATACGAATGGTAAGCGGGGAGGTGGATGAATGACGAGAATTCTAGTCGGAAATTCATGAGCTCATTTGCGCTAATGGTGTTTTCTATTTTTTTTTTTTTTGAAATCGCTGCGTCGTCACAAAGTATAATGGAATCGCTAATGCGCATGATGATGTGTCAATGATTTATGGCGATTCATCGGGAATGCTTCGTCGAAATTTGTTGAATTTTACAGTGCCATCGCGAATGAGCATCCCGCACGATGATAACGTTGTCGGAAGTCCGCTCGTCGTGTGCACCGCGCACATCCATTGGGATCCCGAATTTTGCGATGTCAAACTTGTGCAAACAATGATGCTCGCGCATGAGGTCTCGCGTCTCAATGAGGAGGTCGCCAAGAAGTTCAACATGACCACACAACAGGTGCCGGTGTTGATTTGCGGCGATTTGAATTCGCTTCCCGAATCCGGTGAGAGAATCGCGATGGCGTTGTCGAATTCGCTTATTCGGATTTCGTTTTGTAGGTGTGTTCGAATTTCTGTCGCGCGGCAAAATCTCGAGGCGACATTCGGATTTGAAGTCGTTCCGCGATGACGCGTGCCTTGAGAAATTCACCAATTCGACCGACAAGAATTTCATCACTCATCCGTTGAGGCTCGACTCGGCTGTTGACATATCGGCGATTCCGTTCACCAATTATACGTAAGTGATGGTGGAGATTCGGAATCGAATGAGTCCGACGTTTTTGCAGGCTGGATTTTCGAGGAATGATTGACTACATCTTCTCGACGCCGCAATCGTTGGCGCGGCTTGGAATTCTCGGCTCGTTTGATCAGAATTGGGTGATAAATAACAAGATTCTTGGTGAGTTAAGACGATGATCACAATGGTCCCGAGTGGAAACAATGCGATTTCTGAACCTATTCATACACAATAAAAAATTCCAAATGTTGGATTTTATAAATAGGGGTCCAATTCGAGAATGTTTTTTGAGGTCTTACAGAAAACATTTTTAATTCTATTTTAGATCGAAAATTCTGGTTTAATTCGAATACTGTTCAATTTGTAGGCTTCCCGCATCCGCATGTGCCATCCGATCACATTCCAATAATGGCTCATTATGCGATCATACCGGTGTCGCATCAACGCCAACCGCCGCCGCCGCATCAGCCGTCGGTTGGCGTAATCGGCGGCGGTTATCCGCAACCATCAACACATTCGTCGTCGTTCCTCAGATGATGAAGCCGCATATTCGTCGCCGTCGTCCGTTTTTTTTTCTTTAGTCATTTTTGTTTCTTGTAACTGAGATATGTTTGAAATGTAATCTTGCTGCCGACGTCTGGCGGGCACCGGGCGTCGTCGGAGCTTCTCGCACATTATTCGAACACGAATCGTTTTTCATCGCGTTTTTTCTCCTTCTTTTTTTTTCTCGAACACAATCCATATATGAATCATACCTCATTTCTTGCTTTTTCTTCGTCTTATTTTTCCTTCACCTGTCTTGAAATGTACAACATTTGATTCCTATCCTCTCTCTCTCTCTTTTCCCCTTCGAACTCGCCCACCCCTTTCCCATCCCATTCTAATTGTGATACAACAAATTTTTAAAATATATAACAAAAGCGATAAGAAACGGTATTTCTCAACACAAAAAAAACACTGATTTTTTCATTTTTAACGATCTTTTTAATTCTCCTACGAGTTTTGTCTCTTTTCTACCCAACCCCCTGAAACCAACACCTGAAACTTGGACTTTTCTTCGTTTTTTTTTCTTTTTGTGCGTTGTATAGTTTAGGGATCATTTTGTTTTAATAGTAGTTGCGAACCGCATTTGTGTAAATATTCAAAACTATAATCGTTCATTTTGTTTTTTCCCTTCTTTTTTGAGCTTCATCATCCCGCAAAAAAGCAATCCCCGCACATTATATCATATTTAGCAGCTTATACATATATGTATACATAGAATTGTCCATAATTTGTGTTGGGTTCGAAGAAACGCCGCTTATCATTCATTATATTATTGTGGAAAAATTGAAGTATTTTTTCTTTGTCTCCTCTGTATTCCTATTATTATTCATTATTCTATATTACTATTCTTCTTTTTTTTTCTTTGTCCCTCTCTTTTGACCTATAACGAAAAGAACAGTTTTCTGCGGGATTATTATATGATATAATAATAGCTATGCACTTTCTGCTTATTTTGTTTCACACTGCTGTTTTTTGTCGTCTTTTCTCTTCCAAAAACCCCCTTCCTTTATCTTCTTTGTTTTTGTCTTTTTTTCGTTTTCTGGTGATTCAGTTGGTTTCAGAAATGAAACGCGAATAAAAACTGAAGAAACACAATGTCTTGTAGCGATTTTCGTTTATTATTTACATTGATTACCGTATTCAATTAGGGGGTGCATCACAGTTGATGGAATTGTTTTAAGCATGATTAATAGCGATTCTCGGGCGGCGGGAAATCGTCTGTAAATTTATTTGAGCTTTTCCATTGGTTTCATCATTACCGGGTGGTACAATACGAATAGAATGCGGATGAACTTGATTCGTGTTCGGCGTCGGATGGCTCATTTCGATGTCGCCTGGTGAAAAAATCAAATCAGTTAAATAATTTTTGGACATTTTTCCAATTTGACCACATCAATAATGTCTATTTCTCGAAATTTCAATGAAATTTTTTTTTCGAAATTTTCTGCAATTAAAATCTCGCAAAATTCAGTTTTTTTCAAACAATAAATGAACGTGCGCCACATTTTTTGGAGCGTTTCTGTTTGAAATGGACGAATACTTCCATCCAACTTCTTTATCGATAAATCAGAAGGATTAGAGCAAGCAGGACAGATTAGAAGTCGCACTACAGTGGGAGGAAAGGCACACCAACGAAAAACCTGACAATTGAGGGATAGAAAACGAAATAAGAAGAAGGTGAAGGGGTATCCTTAATAGTTTCACAAATCACTTACCACGTATTCTAGATAATTGAGCCTAAAAAGAGAATCATCTCATTTTTCATAAAAAGAAATCAGTTGGAATCAAAAAATAGGTGGTGACAATTTTTTGGGGTGGAGGAAAGTTCTTTCAAATTACCTGCTCTCGTCCACAATTCGACACCATTTTGAGCGCCATTTGTTGCCGTCGAATGAAATTTCCCGCTGAAATTCAACGAAACTATGATTTTTTTTTCAATTTCCAATTATTCCCAATGAAAAATCGACTATCGGAACGGGTTGTGAAAAATATACAAAAAATTAGCCATTAATTTCGATTTTTTGAATGTATTATAACTAAAGGAGCACAGAAACAGCTTATCAATTTGGGTTCCACGATTATCCTTTCCAATAACCGATTTTTTTTCCAGAAAACTGAAATTGGAAATTCTCAACATCTGGCACGATTTACTCATGCCCCATTCTACTCGCCTATTTATTTTTTATAGGACGTCCAAAAAATCACCGCAATTGCGAAAATTTATTCAATTTTTTCTAACGTATTCATACATTTATGTATGACCTTCGTTGGCTGCAAATTTACATAACATTCTAGCCAAGAGGAATCCAATAAATCACATATAGCCTCTTTCGCGCCAAGACCCAAGCTGGCCTAACTGCGTAATTCAAAATTTTTGAAAATTTCCAAACTATAATTATCAACAAAACGATCATTCTAAAACAGGCTATTAGAAATTCACTTCTGCCGACGTTTCTTTTCTCATGCAATTAGTTGATCTTGAAATTGGTTGTTTCATGCTGAGACAACTACTATCACAACAGGCTTCAACTTACTTCTCATAAAATTGTATGAATTGCAGCTCAGACCTGAATACCACAAATCATGGATGGGTTAATTCGACTACAATTAGGAAAAATCGATTTCACGATATTCAAAAAAAATATATATATTTATGTAAACTTGAAAAAATCTCACTTTGATCTACTCCGCACTTTATTAAGACATTTGTTTGGAGAATTCGCTCGCTCCATATTCCGTTGTTGTTCATGCTTCACATTATGATCGATAACATTGACCCGTCGAAGGTACGCCTTCTGGAAAAGATACCGTAAAGCAGAGAGAACCTTTAGAAATAGAAAAAATCTACCTGCTCTGAAGGGTCCAACTCGCTGAGTTTATTTTTATGCGGTGTCATCACAATCTCTTTTCGGTTCTTGACAAGACTGAAAACCAACCAAAAATTTCTCAAACTCGCGCCAAAAAAAATTACTTGATTTTGCTGGCGCTTCCAACTAGTGGATGCACCGAACGCTCAGCGGACTCAATGGAGTACAGCGGCGCGATTTTGTCGATTCCCCAAAACTCGTCCTTTTTAAGGCTCGGCACCTTCGCCATATGCTCTTCGACCATCGAGTAGCCCGTCTAGAATTTTCCATTAAAGAAAATACCACTTTCAGAATAAGCAGAAAATCGCGCAAAAAATGGTATTCGGGGAAAAAAAAACGTTGAATCAATCAAAAGAAAACGCATTCATCGTGCCAAAAGTCGCGAGAGAAAAACAGATGAATGAATGAAACTCACATTTTGATGTTTCCACATTTCGTCCACAAGCGACAGACCAGTCTAAAACAAAACATTCACAACACAATTAACTTAAAATATTGATAAACATAGTGTTTTTGAAATACAAGGACTAAAATATTTCTACAGAAGCCACTCAAAAACCAAATAAGGAGAAACTTCTTGGAAATACCCATATTTTTCCGGCTTCACCTATTCTCTACATATTTAGCATTACAATAGGTTGACAACATTGATCTACCTCATGCAAATGGGGATGGGAGTTCGATAATCAAAATATGGATACATTGAAACACTCACAATTAGATTTTTGTCGATGATATAATTGCACTCGAGATCGTCATCATCTTCGCCGAGCGGATTCAGAAGCGCTTCGGCCACTTTCATCCAACCCATATAAACAATAAATTGCACCATCGTCGTGATTGGAAGCCACAAATCAATCTGGATAATTAATTGCTTAATTAACTACTTTTTTTGGAATCGCCAATTACCCCAGACGGATTTGTGCCGGTGACAATAAATTGGCGTCCGATAAGGCAGATTAGGAAATAAATTCGAACCGCCAGAAATATGACCTGTGGGTAAACGAGCGGCACTGGAACCCAATCGTATTTGAGCAGCGAAGCGAGCCCATGCCGAAATTTGCCAATCTCCTTAATCAGAGTTATTTTCCAGAAGGTAAGTATTCTAGTCAAGTTACATCGACTATTTTATTCATTAAATAGTAGCTCTCGATTTTTCCCTTTTGCTGGCAATCGTAGATCAAATTTAGGCTCCATTGAATCGATGTCCAATATCTGGAATGTTCACAATCATTGCAATTCAATGACGTTTTGATTACCTGCTGTATGGATCCTTGATGTGATCCAGAATATCCATTTCCTCGTGGGTCATGAATCCCGAAGCCGCCAGCGTGTCCATGGTGGGGAATCGTTTCCGCACTTGCATGGAAATATCTCGGAGGACCAACGCTTGGGATAACACGAGATATCTTACCTACAGCAGGTTTGATTTAGTAGGTTGAGAATTTAAAAAAATCAATACCAGATTCCTTCGAATGATTCTCGTCTCCTCATCCGAACCTCGAATGTAAGTGGCGAATAGCAGCGAGGCGCTGAAAATTTGAAATGAATTCGTGTTTTTTTTTTAATATATAAAAATAATTACTCGTCAATCCATCCGATTCCGTTAAGTATCGACCCCCAGCGGGCAACGACGAACGATACAAAAAAACCAAGTAGAAATGTGAGAGGAATATTGGCATCGAGTTTGTCATTGAAATAATGGACGAGCTGCTCGAATACCCTGCAAATGTTCGCAGATATTAATTTATACGCGTGCCAACACTTCTCCAGAATTTTAATGCATCTTGAATTCTTTTTTAAGATAACGAAAAAAATGTGTTAAATAATAAATATGGGATGAATATTTGAATTTGCACGTCGTCTTGACATATAGCAAAGATCAACGTGAATAAGCCTAAACATATATAAAGTACTGGCCATAATGATGTTCGCCTAGTGTTTTTTGAGCATAACTTGGCTCAAACGCAGCCGATCGGGCTGAAATTTTTACCATATCTTTAAAACGCGTTGAAAATGCGTTTGAATGATATCGCATACTGCAGAAAAGTTTTTTTTCGAAAAATCACAAATTTCATAAAAATGCAGAAAATGGAAAAAATGACACAATGTGATTTGAAAGTCTCAGGAACACGAAAACATTACAAATGTGTAGAAAACCGGTTTTAAATTTATCAATACTTTGTTGCGAATCCATTGGCATCAATAACCGCTTGGCATCTGCGAGGCATCGAGTCCAAGAGGGTGCGGATCACTGCATCGGAATGGCACTCCATGCGGCTTCGAGTTGAGCGAACTTCTCGTCGGCGATTGATGCTCGGAGCCCTCTAACCATGCGTACTAGTTCTTCCCAGAGATGTTCGATCGAATTATGGTCAGAAATCTGTGATGGCCACGCAAGAACATCAACTCGGCGACGTTGGAACCAATTCTTTACATGTCCAGACATGCGCTCAGGGTCGTTGTCTTGCTGGAAAACGAATGCACGTCCGACGTTTGCTAATGCCCAAGGTCTCATTGTGGTTTCCAGGATATCCTTGTACTGGTACCGATCCATGATTCCATTTACACGTCGGAGCGGTCCCATGGCGGTGTCGGAGAAGCAGCTCCAGACCCTGCAAGATGCTTCACCGTTCGGAGGTGGTACTTTGGCATGAAACTGGCTCCGATAGGTCGACGAATCCACTTGATTTCATCACTTCCGAACAAGTCGAACCTCGATTCATCGCTATAAATGTGTTTGACCCATTCACATCGTCCCCAGTTCAGATGATCCTTGCACCATGCCACTCTCGTCTTTTGGTTCTTCTCACTGATCAATGGTTTCTTCACCGGGAGTCTTCCATGAAGTCCATTCTCCAACAAACGACGTCTAATTGTTCTTCTGGATGGAATGGAAGAATTTGGCGTTGCCACAAGCATCTGGATATCTGCTGAAGTCCGTCTAGGATCTTCTCTTGAAGCACGACAGATGTTCCGATCTTGGAGCCTAGTTGTTTTGTAAGGTCTACCATGTGATTTCTTAACAAAAATGCAGCCCAATAGATTAGAAATAGTCCAGAATGATTAAAAGATCGTACATTTTGTCTTAATCGTTGCAAAACTTTTTGGATTCCTCTTCGGGAGCACAGGAACTGCTGAGCCAGAAGGCTTCTGGACGACCCAGTCTTATGACCATTAACGATGGCTTTTTGAACGTCCGCCGTGAAATTTTTGTTTCCAGAAGGTTGAAAAATTACTAAAAACTTGTTTCAGGTCCAAATTTCAAATAAAAAAAATTTATGGACAAAGTTTGAAAAAAATGAAAAATTGGTAAAATCGAAAAAAACAAAAAAAATTAAAAAAAAAATTAATTTTTCAACATGAGGCAGTTTTAATGTTTCCAAGGTTGCGCAACTGTGTTTAGCGTTTACAGTAAAAATTTCAGCCAAATCGGCTGCGTTTGAGCCAAGTTATGCTCAAAAAACACTAGGCGAACATCATTATGGCCAGTACTGTAATTAGTTAAAATTAAATTCTAAATAACTTATTATCTCTAGTACGTTTAGAATCAACTTTTTTTCGCCTCGAGACCGTTTCTTTCAAGTTGGTCCTTTTGAAAAATTTAAACGATTAAAATAATTGAAAAATTCAGATATTAACGCGAATTGAACACATTTCTGCATGCACCTTTAATATTGAAGTATTCAATCAATGCTTCATCGGTATCTCCTAGTACATATATAAATCCAAATATGTCCCAAATCTTACGTTTGTTGTTGCGGTGATAGGGCATATCTGTAAACGCAGCTGACAATCAGGAACGCCGACGTCCATACCAAAAGTTGGCCGAAAACCGCCTGCAAAAAGCACAATTCATCAAAAAATCCAGCTAGCTGTCGATTTCGATACAAATCTTCAATCAACAAAGCATTAAAGATCAGGTCGCGCGCGAGATGACAACAAAAATGCCATAGGGGGGAGCACTCACTTGAGCCTCTATTATGTATGAAAAGAGATACAATATAAAAATGAAGGGTTTTTTTCTTGGGTGCTCTTAACAAGCATTTTGGCATAATATAAAGAAAATGCTGGGTGAACTTTGATGCAATAAAGCTTAATTCAAGAAAAAACTATTTAAAACTGAGTAAAATTTAAGTATATCTGCAAAGTTTTTGATTCATAAAACGCAAAATTTAAGCATTCATCGGAAAAATTAAATGGCAATTTGCTAATTTGAATACACTCAAATATTAGGTCTTCCAGAGAAATAATAAATATAAAATTAATTTCGAAACGAAATAATTCTTCTTCTAAGATTATTCGTTTCAAGAGACAAATTGGTCACGCTTAGTTGCAATTAAAAAAAGAAACTTCGGTGACACAATAGAAAAAAAAACCGGTTCAACGAACTATTTGAACTCGAAAACTGTTTCTTTTTTCAAAGTTTAAACGTTTCTAATAAATAATGAATGAAAACGTTGCTTTTAAGCCAATAATTGAAGATTTTGTAAGAAAAATTCTAAAATATTTCTACAAGGGAATTTCATGACGAGATATTTGCGAATTTTTAACCAGTGCGCCTTTAAAGTGTAAGATTAAATTCTATGATTTTTTTTCATTTTTTTTGAGCGTCTTATTGCAAAACTAAAAGAAATTTTAAAAAACATTGCTCACCTTCCAAACACTTCCTCTCCATCTCAACAGCAAGCTGAAGAAGCTTTTGAGATTGGTCTGCGACACATCCAAAGTGTACGATATGGTCATTTGGAATGTTCGAACTAGGCGACGAGCATTGCACGAAGCGAACACGACCAAAAAGAATCTAGAAGTAAATTGAATCAAAGAAAGGATACGATGAAGAAATGCGGCAAAATGATCGAGGATCATTCAAAAAAAAAGAAGACGAGGAGGACGCGAACAAAATCGATGATTGTTCGATTGCAGCGGCGATGAGGAGGAGGTCAAAAATTGTTGGAAATATATATAAAAGACGACGCCCATTCTTCATGAACCCATCATTAAATAAAGCCATTTCTCATTTTACAGTATTCTATCGCGAACCCGATACTTAAATATGAAGGGATTTTGATGAATAATATATTTTTAAGGAACGTCATTCAAATGAAAGGTTTGTTGAAGCCCACGACTCTTCCTTTTTTGTTTTTGGTAAAAGTGAAAAAATTCAAAAAATATATATTTGAAAGGTCAAATCATTTTTTTCTGCCCTTGAATGAGAGCATTTCAATCATGTGGTTGAGATCCGCAAATAATTGCAACTTATTTCCGATCATTATAATGGTCCCCAGAAAATTTTGCAAGTCACAACAAGCTTCTGAGTTTCGAAGGGAGCGATTGTTTGCACTTTGCCTTTGAATCGTTTGATGGTAAACAAGTTGGAAGCCAAGGGACCATGAAATCTTTATGAGCGCCAAATTCAGTGTGTTTGGGGTCTCGCGTGGAAAACACAACAAAAATTCAAATTCGATGCCGAACTGAGACAATGGTCATAAAATTGAGGTCATTTGAGGGGAAAAAGAATTTGTTTTGAAAATTTGAAAAAAAAAATCGGAATTTAAAATGTTAGAAATAGTGGCTACCAGAATCGGCCGTTGCGAGACCCAATGCAAAAAAAGACGATGTGCGCCTTTAATTATCGTAAGCAAATAACAATAATTTTAAAATTGGAAAATTCCACATATATTCTTAAAAGCACTCGATTTTAAGCGTTTGCTTTTCAACTTTAATTTTAATTTTTTATATTCGGAAAATCAAGAAATTGAAAACTATGGAAAAAAAACTCAATAGAATCGTGAAGTTCCTATAAAATAAAATGGTTAGTTAAAGGCACATAACGCGGAGAATTAGTTGGGTCTTGTGACGATTAATTCCGGTGGACGCCGTTTTTCGAGAAACAGAAAATTTCATTCGCAAAGAAACGAATACCCTGTGAAGTTTGATTCGCAGGTTATCCAGACTACGGTATCCAAATTCCCACTGTTTCAATTCACAGTTGAATATCCGCTTCGTTAAAAAGTGCAATGGTCCACAATTACTCAAGATGCTCGTTTTCTGCTATACATAGTAGATTGCTGTACGGACCAACTTTTTATTGAGCTCATTCCGTTAATTTTTAATTTCAATAATATTAAATATTCAAAGAAATGCCGAAATAAAAACTAAAAATAAGAATACACACGTGACGAGACCATTTTTTTAAAGGCGCTTCCCGCCGACAATCATAGTATACAATAATTTTCATGTTGAAAAAATCCAGAATAAAAATTAAGTTGGTCCATATTTGGCTAGAAAAATGGGGACCCTCGATGACACAAAATGCATATTTTTCTACCCGATTTTATCTATGCATGGAACCGAGCAAAAAAAAATAGGCGACGCTTCAAAGAACTCGCGCGCCTCCTTTTGTGATCAACAATTGGAAAGGAAAGGGAATTTCTCGCTGATATCCGGCCATCCCAAAAAAAAAATGGAATTCGCTTCTTCTTCTTCTTCTTGTTCGACGACGAAAAAAGAAATGGTGGGGGAGAGAATAAGCGAAAGAATCCGAAAGTTGGCAATTATTCATTTATGCATATTTCCATTCTGGCGGCTTCAATTTACAGCCAAAACAATGCGTTATTTGGTCTTCTCACCGTCTGGATGAGGTCAAGTTTTTTTCTTTCTTCTTTTTTTCCCATCTCTCTAGGGTCTCGAATTTTGGGCGAGATCTAATCGGGCGGTAGATCAAAAGCCGGCGAAGAACAATGGGAGCTTTGACAATTTGTCGGGTTAAGCTCGGAGGGACAATACGAAAAAAAATCGATCGAAATTCACATAAAACCGACGAGATTAATTGGGAAATTCAAAAAAAAATTTTAATGGGAAAGTTGGAATTGCTTGGCGAATGTTAAAAATCACTTGGAATTTTTTTCATCGTTGATGAAAATTCAAATTCCAGCACTCTTCTGCTCCTTTAAAATGTAGCGATGGTCTCGAAAGGATTGATTCGCGATTTGGATAGTTTCGAGACCACATTTAAAGGCGCACATTGAAAATACGTCTTCAAGAAATGGAGGTCTCACACAATCATTGTAGAAGAATTCAAACAACTTCTCATCGTTTCGAGACCATTGGCACATAGCCAATAGTTTGAAGCCGCGTTCAAGTTGACTATTTTAAAAATTACAGCAGCACGCGTGGCGAGACCCTAGCGAAAAGCGCATCGCGTAAATCGTATTAGAAAATAGTTGAAAACATAAGAGCAATGATGCGGTCATCAAGTGCAATGTCGGAACGCCAACTTGGGACCATAAATTGACTTCCTCCTAGGACGGCTCATAAATTTTGAATCATGCCAACAAGCCCCCCTCCTAGTGAAACATGTACGTTATTTCTATCACGCATGCCATCCTTCAGAAAGCATTCGTCATTTCAAAACACAGAAATCTCAAGAAAAAAAAGGCGAAACAAATTTGGGGTCTTTTTTATTTCTTCTAGAAGGCATGATGAGTGGGCGGAGTTTGTGCAAAAGAAGGAAGAAGCGAGAGCGAAACTGAGAGGTTCTTTATACATATGACATATACATATGTATATATAAGAATATCAATTAGGGTCCGTTCTTTCCGAGCATCTGGGGGGGGTTGTCCAAAAAAGGGAAACACTCTTGTGTTTACACAAAAAGGTTCAACAATTATAAACAATTGTTTTAATTTTGTGCGAATCCATCTGCGGACAATTTGAGTGTGATTGTTTCGAGATTCTTGACGCTGAATCCTCCGGCGCCGCCCATTTCCGACTACAACGATGCGTCACAACACAAACTATACGAAATTTGTGAAATTTCATTGACTCGTGCTCAATTGTAAAATGAAAAATTGTTGGCGACAAGGTATTCTGAGTGGGCGAGACGCGAAAAAAAAAGACTACACTCAAGAGCAACAACTTGAGCTGTCGCACTCGCCCCTTCTCGCATCCTTTTATGGGAGTGGGAGGGATGAGAATGATGTATTTAGAAAAAAAACCAGAAATGATTATTCATACATCAAGAAAATGTTGTTCAAATACCAATGTTGGCCACTAACAATGTCCGCAGCATGAGCAATAAGGGGGGTTCTAAAACCGTAAAATTGTCCGCAGCAATGTTCACATTTTCTTTTTGGTTTTTCCTATTTTAGATATTTCATTGACTGACTTTTTTTAAGTGCCCCAAATAATAGATGAGGTCTCACAACAAAATAAGATGGTCCCAATGTCAAAAAAAAAAAACATTTAAATTTGAATTAGATGGTCTACAAATTCCCAGGGTGCTCGTTTATTTTCCTAGCCTATTATAGAGAACGATTTTTTAAAGGCGCAGAGCACTCCTTCAAATTATTTATAGTTGGTGACAGTAACCTTTTTTAGGAAATAATGAGTGGTTGATTGTCCGCAGCAACGAACACCAAAAAGCTTATGAGTAGATCACGAGGGCTCAATAGAAGCACATGTGAGATTTTGGAGGGCTCCAAAAAAAAAACAAAATCTCGATTTTTTGAAATAAACATTTTCGATTTGCACGAGCTTTTCGGTTTGCAGAATCCGAAAACGAGCCGCTCGAAGGTTGTCCCAAAATTGGAGCGATTTTGGGACCATTGTTTGGCACGAAACGTTCGATTTTATGAATTTCTGAGTGTGGTCCGAGGGAAAAAATGAAATGAATAATCGGGTCCCGCTGCAGTTGGTTTATATCCCCCCAAAAAATTCCCGTTTATTGAGCCAATAAAAAAAGCGCCGAACGATCAAAGCGCGCGCTGAAAATTGAGCGAAAAATGTCCGCAGATGGAAAAGTTGAAGTTGAAAAAAGAAAAAAATTTTTTCTGAATATTTCTGATGATCGTCAAGAAAAAAGTAATACGAAACAAAAAGCATTTTTTTTCGGCGGACTTTTCAAAGATATTGGCCAGCAAATCCAAATAGTGGCCTAACCCTTGTCAACGTGATTTCCGGACATTTAGAAGAAGGCAGAATGAAGGGAAAGGGGTGGAAACCCGCACCACAAAATGGCATTTATCGAAAATGGCTGGCCATTTCGGCTTCAGGTACGTATATCTCGTATATGACATACGGCAAAGAACACTTATCTGGTAATTTGAGATAGGCGAAGCGAAGCGAAGAATGTTACAAAATCATGTTTTTTTTTTCAATATTTTCGTCGCAAGACAACAGTATTGTGAAATATATTGGAATTCGAATGTCGCCGAAATTATTTGTTTTTTTGGAACACTAAAAAGGAAACTAACACCGCGCGAAAAGGAGAAGGTAAACAAAAAAAGAACAACAAAAGAAGGTTGGCAAGAAATGGAATGTTTGAATTTTTCAGGCCACACTTTAAAGGCGCATTCGATTCTTTCTAACTAATATTGTCGAAGTTGCGTGAAAATTGGCTAAGTGCCAAAAAAATAGTAGGGTCTTGGCGCAAAACTATTTGTGTAGATTTACGAAGGCGCTTAAAGGCGCACGAATTCGACAGTATGAAATTCGACAATTTTTAGTGAGGCAGGGGCAAACGCGCTCCATCGCACTATATTTTTTTCACAACCGCGAATAAATTTTTTCGAAAATTTTCAACATTTTCAGAAACATTACGAACACGATAGGCAAACATTTGAAAAAGTTGAGTTCGGTGTTATGAAATTTTAAATAAGATCGTGAGGTGACGATGTTGAAAAACTCGACATTTGGGGGGCTCTTTTCAGCAGCCAATTTTAAATATACTCTGTTTCGGCATAGAAAAAGTCGCAATTCATTTTCCGCTTTATGAGCCTTTAATCAATTATCTCATTTTTCTTAAATTTCGGCAAGGAACTGCGTTTTTTTTTTAATTAAAATTCTTAAATATTCGAATATGAAACAGAAAAAATATATTTTAAAATGGGAAGAACAATATTTTTCAAAAATTTTTACTGGACCTCACAAATTGGAGGCGAACCAGTGGTTTTTAAGTAATTTCAAGTGTTTTCTATGTATTTTTAAAAAAACGAGGGTTTTGAGTAATAATGGACCATTGAATGTTTTCGTGGCGGCGATTCGAATTTCAAATTAAACTGTGTGGAATTCGAGTGCCGAAGCTCATGGTTCCCGTTTTTTAACGACTATAATAATGTTGAAAATTTTTATTTCTTATACGGTAATTCAAGGCGCACACTGTTTTTTGGTGCATTTGAACAAATTTGAAGCAAAATGGTTCGAGGCCTGAAATATTACAGAATTCGCTAGTTGCTGAAATTCCAACCGCACGTGACAAAATCTAGAAAATTTTTGCGTTCGATTGACATCACATTGAATTCCACTCGTCGCCTAATTAATATACTAAAGAAAATGGGCATAAAATTAACAAGCTTCTGGGAAAAAGGGAAGTGAGGGGGGAGATTTGGGATTTGCATTTTTCGAGACGACAAACGAGTAAAATCAAGGCACACACACATACAAAAGACGAAGGTGTTTGACCAATAATCAAGTTGAAAAAAAAATGCCGCGGCTCAACCAATAGCAACAACTGTTGGCATTATTTTGTCTCTCGAATGAGACAATCCGATGATTTATCGCAGCGTGCTCGCGTTTTTCGACAACCGAGACGTTTTTTTTTTTTTTTGAAAAAATCTCGTCTAAATTTGACACCTTCAGCTGTTCGCCGATTACTGGAAATCGGTTGTCTTCGACGATTATTGATTGCCTCGAGATTTTTGCTCAATAATTCGATTTTGTGCCTTGGTCGGTAGCAAATGTTTCAAATGGTGTAGTAGGAGTGTAGGCGTAGGCGATCTATTAAATTGCTTCTTCAGATTTCATCTAAAATTTAATTAATTTAATTATTTTTTCATATATTTGAAGGGATTTTAAAAGAAATCTTATTACAAAAAAAAAATTCAAAACTTCGAAATAATGGCGGACGAGAAATGTGGCATGGCCGAATATTTCGCGGCCGCGGCGATAATTCGTCCGCCTGAAGGAGATTTCAATTCCCATGTGCTTCTCTCATGGCGAATCCGAAGATTAACGACAAACTATATTTTTCGGTCGTGGGGTCCTACGATTTTGGTACCAAATACAGCAGGTGGTGTAGTTTAAAAAAAATTTTAATTTAGTAAAAAAAAAATGTGGATTTGCTGATTTTGCTTTGAAATTTTGAAGGTTTCGCGCCTAATATTGATACTGCATAGTCGAAAAACTGCCAACATCAATTCGAGCCCATCAATATCGTTTTCGTGCTATTTATTCGTAGTCAATCAATTTCACTTACTAATACATTCAGACATATACATATAAAATATATAATATATAGTAAAGCAAAACAACCATTTGCACATAACCCCAATGAGCCAAATACAAGGAAATGTTTGAGCTACCTGTAGAGATCACAACAAGCAATCGAATTGGATTAGGAAGGGAGCGGAGGTACACAGAAATGACGCCCTCCTATGGACCACTTATGGGCATGTTCGTATTTACAGTGTGGTTTTAAGGCTCTCTCGTACAAGATACTCGTACCGGGTTTACAAGAAAAGTAGGCACACCAAAAAAATGAAAAAAAAAGTGGTATTGGATGGGGAAAGTACATGTATGTATATGGATGGGGGAAAAGCTGAGAAAGAAATCATTCGGAATTGAGCGACGAGATGTCCGGAACGCTGCTCGAACGACTCTTGTAGGACGGCGGCCGACTGATCAGATTGTTGACACTGTTCAACTGGCTGACACTGAAATGATGGCGTTGGCTCATTGAGCACGAGTTCGACGAACCTTGGGAACATTGTCATCTTCTCGATCGACTTGGCATGCTTGCCGAACTCGATGTCGCCGCTGTCGATCATGTCGAGCTCGCGGCCAGCGAACCAGGCGGCCACCTTCTCCAGTGGACTTCTTTCCGTCTCATTCGCCGGGAACACAATGAACAACGAGAGTTGGAGCACCGCCAGAAGGACACCAATGCCGTTTGGAATCTGCAAGAGTGTTTCAAATATCTTGAGGGCCCTTTATAAGGTCATCCCAATTAATGGAAGCCACTGACAACATTCAAACAGTCTCAGATGTTAACTATTACTTTTAATAACTTGTTTCTCCCTTAAACGGTTTCAAAAAACCAATTTTCAGAGTTTTTTTTTTAAAATCATGATTCGACAGGCTAGAAAGTGGTATACCTAGGTTTATCGATTTTTAAGCCATGAATTCAGTTTTAAAATCTGAAATTTTTTACAGCCATTTGCAAGAGGGACCCTTATAAATATGAAATGCACTGTACTTATTCAGTAATAAAAATAAAAATAATAATTCAATGCTCCTTGCGCGCGAAATTCAAATTCAATTCTATGTGCAAAATGGTTGCAAACACATTGGATGGCCTGCAATTTGATCTATTGGCGTCTGTCTCGAGCACAAAAATTGTTGGAAAATATAAACAAAAGTACGCAAAAATAGAAAACAAGCGTGTGTTTTTTTTGAAATGCTCAATCATGCCTGCTTGATATTTAAAGAGCCCGAAAATTATGAATTTGGAATTTCATGGCATCACAACTCTGATCCTTTTGATGCATTTTCTATTTTTTGATAGACTAGCTCTTCTTCGAAGGCACCTCTGTCAAAGAGAATGGATCCGAAGATATTTGGATCTAATCTTAATTTGATCCAAAATGCCTTACCTGTATACAATGGTCCCTTTGAAAAATAAATTAAAAATCAATACAAAGTTGCCTATCCTATTAGAATGCTATCTTAAGCTTGGTAGAGGTTTCAGTGATTTCCCTATTTGGGTATGGCTCATAACATCAAGAGAGAGTTCTCTATGAAGATCTAAAATTCAACCGATGAAAATTTTAAATTCGGCGTTCGGCGATTTCTGGGGTAGATTTACGGGGTGCTCCTTTCGAAATGGTCTCGTCACACGCGAATTATTATGTTGAAATTTTCACATAAAACTGTTTATTTTTGTCTTGATGCCTTTATGAATTTGGAATTTCCTTGAATTGTTGGCTTCATTCGATTGAAAATAATTATCGAATCGACTTAAAATGGCCAAAAAGTCGGCGTTGGACCATGAGAAAGATCCTCGTAAATCCACCCGCAGAGAATAAACAATTTCTAAAAAGTCAATTTTATTAATGGATTAGAACTGATTTTTTTTTCAAACGTCCCAAATCCAAATAGGGAATTTCGAATTTTTGACAAAACTTGAAATTTGCTAATTTTTGGGTTTCTAAGTAATTCCAGAATTTCTTGTTGGAATTCTTCTTACCTAAGGATGGGGGGGGATTGGATCTGAGAAGCTTCTCCTTATGAATTTTTCGAAAAAAAAGAGAAACTTTCAGGCTTCTGGCAATGCGGAAATGCTTCGTTGGGCTTTTATAAGCATGCAGACATGATTTTCCGGAGTCTCGAAAGTTCCCCCTCTCTCCCAAAAAGGACACGTACCACAATGAAGATGTCGTTGACAAGATATCCATAAAAGCACCATTGGCTCGACACGAGGAAATTGGCGACGCACATCGGGAACGGCAGCGTCGAGACCTCGCGATTCTTCAACACGACACCCTGAAAATGTGTGACGTCATTGGCTGGTGAATTATGAGTCAGCGTACAAGTCCGGCGAGCGGCGCGCCGAAATTCAAAATGTTGAATGTCATGCAGACGACGCCGAGGAGGCTGAGATTCGGATGAATCGCGATCCAGACGATCATCGCGATGATCGTCGCGTAAACGAGACCTAGCTTAATGGCGAACGACTTCTGAACATCGAATTGAGAAAAAGGCGAAGCTGTGTGTGGGCACTCACCGTCGGCCAAGAATAGTAAAGGTAGAATAGGCAGTAGATAGCGAAGCATGCGACTCCAACCAGATTCACAATGATCATAGTGTAGTCGAGTTTCAGAAGGCCATAGCGAAGCCAGAATGAGCCTCTGAAAATTGAAGAAAAGCGGTTTCAATTGCTATTTTTTTAATTACCCAACGAGACCCATTAGGAATGGGACATCTGATATCTCACCAATGCCGCCTTGTCGGTGAATCGTCAAGCATATCGGGCTGAAAATTCTTTTTTTTTTGGCCACCCCTTATTTGACGATTCTTACATTCCGCAGAAGAACAATGCGATGGTGGTGGTGATGGCGGAAAACGACAGCGCCTGGAGAATCAAGTGAACGTCGAGAATCATTGATGATCTGAAATTGGCGAGAAGCTTAAATCAGCGAGAGTGATTGTGATGAGCGAGGCGAGCGCGCGCGCGAGAGGACGCCCTAGAATATTCTAGTCCGAATATTTTTTTTTCTATTGGCGCGAGGGGGGCTATGAAGCAGCACAAAAACACGGGGCGCGGAGGCGAGATAGTGTGCCGAATCGCCGAGAGCAATAAGAAATGGGGACGGCGCCGAGTTCGAGGCCGCTGCGCTTTTAAGAGAAGCGCGAATGGGCGGGACGACGATGGAGAGCAGTCAGCTATCTGTTTCAATTGTAACCTTGTTCTTCTCTCTCTCTCTCTCTCTCTCTCTCTCTCTCTATTTTTTGCTACTCAGCTTCTTCTAAAAGCTTCCAGAAAGTTTTGATGTTTTGTTTTGTTGACGTGGCCACGTTGGCAAAATCGAATTAATTTGTTTTCGTGAAAAATATTTTTTGAACGTCTAGCGAATGGCCGTGGCCGTGGCAAGAAAACTAGTCCATGTCAAATTTTCAGAAAATGTCGCTGAAAATGAGACGAAGAACGCAACAAAAAAACATTTTATGGGCATTATTAAAATTGTTGTTTGATTTTGCAACGTCAAAAGCGCACTGAAAAAAAATTTGAGAAGCTAAAATCGAATGCAAATTTAAATTGATCGAATTAGACCGAATTTGAAAATATACGAAGAAATCAAGGCATTATCTAGTCGGTCTTGCAGAAAAAAAATCGATCGCTGTGAGACCCAAATGTGCATTTGATTAAAGTATCCAAAACAATTTTTGAAATTGAAAATCTTCAAATTTTTTATTCCGATTAATTTGGCGTTTCTGGGCACAATTTTCAATTTCAATTTTTCGATATTCCATTATAGAATTTTTTAAATGAAAATTGTGAAATTCAATAATTCAGAAAATTGATGAAAGGTTCAAAATAGGTTGGGTCCGATTCTGGCTGTTTGCTTCAAAAAAATCCAACCACAATGAAAATTTATAGGAAATGACATCTGCGGACAATGTGGGGGTGGCTATTTGTAAACGAGACCCGTTTAGAAACGTCTCGAATTCGATGCTATTTAAACATTTGTCGTGCTCGACTCGAAAATTGCCTACAATTTCCATAAATGCTCATGCATGTGCTCATGTGACAATTATCTATGGCTACCGTATCATAATAATAATAATAACTATTTTGTTTACAAAAAGTTTTCCGGAAAAAATCGCGCAATTTAGGCGGTGTGTTTTTGAGGCGAAAATTGTCCGCAGCACGATTTCGATATAATATTCCATTTCGTTTTGATCCACCCGATCGAGGTTCCAATTCGAGCGATTCGCGTTTTCCTAGGAGTCACGAGAACATCACGTGCCATTCGATGCGACTTTTAAAGGCGCACAAAATTTCAGCCAATTGTCACACCACGAAAAATGATGGAAATACATGAATATAGAGGTGAGAATGCCGTCAAATTAAAAAAAAAAGTTGAATGAAACTACACTTATTAGTAATATGGGCGGCGCCGACCCAAATATGGAAGAAACGAGACAGGTCGAACGATGATGTTTTAAAGTTTGTAATCTTTGAAAGAAGAAGAAAAATAAGGTGATAAGAAAGTGCGAGACACTGTCTTTCAAAAAAAAATTCATTAGAATGTGATAATAGCAAAAAATCGAAAAATTTTCTGCGCAAATATTTGTGCTCATCATCCGACGGCGATCTTGAACCCGATCGCTTACTTTTCTCTTTTTTTTTGATACCTTTTCTTTCGAGAACCCCAAAAAATAAACAAACAGAATGATAGTTGATTCGATGGACACGTCAACACCAAAAATTGCAGACAATCCGGTTGAATTGCAAGAATTCCTCAGAAAACCTCTCAATTCCAAGTTTGGAAATGTCCGCAGCAGCGAGTTGTCATATTGAAAACCAGCCTGCGACAAACTGGCAAAGTAATTGTAAAGCAAACTCATTCGGAAAAAAACTAGTCAATCGGTCCTGTAGGTTTGATTCAACGGCCCTCCATAGCATGGTCCTTTAATTCTGAACTGCTGAAGGCATTTTTGATGGTCCACTAGAACACAAGGTGCTCGGTTTTTTGCGATATTAAGACATGCAATTAATAAAATGAATAAGCTTCAGAAGCACGTTTAAAGGCGCATTCTTCAACAAAATTTGATCTACCAAAATTCTTCATCAAATAATTTATGAAAAATTCAATTCCAAACGAGACCCAATTTTGGCGATATTTTCACAATTTTTTGGAATTGTGTTGTGAACATCGCGAATATTCCACGTGGATTTGAAAATCAAAAAAAAAAGATTTCCGAGAATAAAAAGCAAAAATGCAAAGAGAAATGGGTCAAATAAAAAAAGTAGAAGCTTAAAAATTTGGATTTAAAGGCGCAGAGTGACAAAATGAATGTCTTCGCCGCGAGACCCACCTTATTTCGTTTTGAAAAATTCATTAAAATGGCAAGATAGGGGACAAAAGCCAACACTATAATTGCATTATTATTATTATTATCGAATGTCAAAAAGTGCATAATTGCGTTCGATTCGTTTCCACACGATCGAGTCGAAAAACAAAACAATCGGGCATTTCGAAAAAAACGAGAACCCGGGGGGTCTTTTCAATGAGAAGACCACAGAAAAAAATAAGAGAGATTCTGGAAGGATGATTTGGTGGAATTTGAAGCACGACCCTCTCCCCCCCTCGTCAGGAACGAGTCGATCGAAAAATGTTTGCATGATCTTTTCTTTGCAGTTTGCCGAACACACAAGAGAGAGAGAGAGAGAGTCGTTCACGTGAAAATGCTGGCTGACAGGAGGTGGGATTCCAGGCTCCGCCCCCCCCCCCATCGCCGCGCTGCACTGATTAAGCGCGACGCAAGCATAATGGAAGCATTGTGGGAAATCTGTGGAACGGAAGCATAATGCTTCCATATAGGAAGCATAATGTAATTCTTAGTGGCTGTGGAAGAATTATGGGACGAATATGGATGGAATGAAAACGGGATGAATATGCTTCCGGTGTTTGCGAGCCGTGGAACAAATATGGATGGAATATGGATAAAATAATCATATGTCAATAAACATTATACAATTGGCGTCTGGACGGCAGACCAAGACAATTTCTAGAAAAATCAATACAAAAAACTTATGCTATCATATAAACAATGAAAATTTGAAAATTACATGATACACAACGGACGAAATTTAGCTTCTACCATTTAATGACTTATGTTACTCAGATTTATGTTAATTCAGTCAACTGTTCCTCACTTTGTTTAAAGATTGCCAACTACAATTTAGTCGTATTAATATATTTTTGCCGGTTTTTCCGAAATTGGCATCGCAAACTACTCACAATTTGCTCCAAACTGGTAGCAGACGTGCGTAGAAGAGGCGTGCCGCAGCATTGCAAAACCGTGCGCCGCTTTGCACAATGCGGCCACGCCTCACATTTTCGAAATTCGTTTTCAAAATTTTTGTCCTTTTGCTTTTTCTCAATGAATTTTCAAGATTTTGTGTTTTTTTTTTTTGTCAAAAATTAAAGAATTTTTTTCAAAATTAAAGGAAAAATGTTTTTAAAAAATAAAGGAAAAATTTTCATATTTATCATCAAAATCGAAACCAAAAATAAATTGATAGCATTCGAAAATTTTAAAATCGATACGATGTTTTCAAATCGTTTCCGACACTTTTAAAATCGAATTTAAATATTTTCTCAATCGAATTGTGTTTAATTTCTCATCGAATCCGTTTTATTTTTATTTACTTTAACATATTTTTTATTATCGCTCGCTTTTTTCTTTTAATAAAACATAATGTTTTGAAATTTTTACAGATGAAGACAAGATCGAGAGTGTTGTCAGATATAACTGAAACTGCTCTAGAAGTCAATAACAAAGAACCAGAAGTCCCTAACATGGAACCAAATTCGCTCGACACTTCAGATCCAGATAGTCCAATTTACTCGCCAACTCAGCAAAAAAATTTTTCTCCACAGTCCTCACAAACAACAAAATCAACGCCAATTCCTAAACCTTCGTACGCCCAATTTGTAAGTTGTTATCATCAAAAATTGGCCTGTTCGACTCCAGAAATGGTTTCAATTAGAAAAATATGCGCAATGAAGTCTTTATAAAGTACTTCCTAAGTTTAAAGCTTGTTGATTATTTGGTTCCAATCAGGGCTGTGCGGCAATGGAATTGCCGATTGCCGAAATTGCCGGTTTTTCAAATTGCCGAAGAAAATTTCGATCGGTAATTTGCCATTAGCCGAATCGCCGAAATTTCCGATTGCCGTACAGCCTTCGTACCAATATCATTCAGTGGCATTTATCTTTTTAAGTGGGGCTCTAGTACAGAAGTCGCCAGACGCCGACTATATAACGATCCTATACTTTATTGCAAATATCTATATTACAGATGCTCTTATCCATGGCTTTGGGCAACAACCGACAAATGACTTCAAAGCGAAAGCATTACGCATGGTTCGAGAAGTCATGGATAATCTTCTGTAAGATTTTGAACTATGACTATTAATTTATTTATTTGATTAAGCGATAGAATGCGCCAACGACTTCAAAGGAAATTTGGTGTAGCGCCGGAAGCGCTCGCGGCGCAATTAAGGAAGCTGCTTGATTCTACCAGCAACCCTCAGATGTGAGTATTCATATGTCTTTGAAATTTTAACCAAAATGCCTTTTTGCTTCAAATTTTGGAGTTGTTCTTTCTTCCGCCAATTCACTTTTTATTTTGTGCACTAAAGGGTTTCCAAAAATGCAATAAAAATAAATTATTTTTATTTTTAAGAAAATTATTGATGTAAAAAAACTGATTGTATTTTCTCGAAAAATTTAGTTTACGTAACAATGGTTTACAAGTTTTTCAAATTAATAGGCCCATTATAATCTACTTATTACAGCGTCCCGCTCGATGTCAGTACTGACAATGATTCGAATAGTTCGGCAGTTGCCAGTAACTAATGGTTTGATTATA